CCCAAAGGTATAACTGATATTACTTTTTAATGAAATCACTTATTCCGGTACACGATATTACATTACGTTCTCTTTGTAAATAGAAATCAAGTACACCGCCACTCTCCGATATACTAGCTGTGTTGAGAGCACAGTGTGTTCAATACTCCAGTCTTGTACTGCAAGGCCTGATCGGCATTAATCAGTCCTCGATGCCGCATCATTTGTCCATGCCGCCACTTCTATATCCAATACTATCACAGAGTCTACCTCGGGGTTATTTACACGAACTAGTGGCGAGAACACACACGAATCTAGCAGTATTCAATAAAATTTTTACTCCGCTGTTACAAGGTTTATATCTTTCGATGCAACAAGTCAGTTTGGTCGGAAACACGCATCGAATGCCGATCGAAGCATTGGAAGAGTTAATAGAAATTCGTTGTGGCCCGACCAGTAACATACGGCCGATCTGCCGTTTAATTACTCATCAAATTCAATTTTTGCCCGATATTATGACGTCAGCAGCTGGTAGAGAGCTTACAATAACATCTTATCTGGGTCCTTTCCTGTCAGTTTCTGTGTTCGCTGAGGATCAACCGGATGTGGTTGAAAAATTCTTTAGCGGCAATCCATTCGTCTATAAGTCGATGAATTTAACGTTGCAACAGGAGTTGGAAAGTACTAGAACGTCGCTTCACAAAATGCTGCACGCGATACTCGCGAATAGTAACTGCCGTGACGCTATGTTAACGTACTTGTCGACCTTGCTACGTCACAACGAGAAACGTGCTCAAATACAAACAGAAGAGTTCTCTCTCGCTGGAGACGGATTTATGTTGAATCTATTGTCAGTTCTACAAATGCTTTCTGTGAAAATCAAATTAGACACGATCGATCCGTTATATCCGTTTCATCCGTCGAGTTTCGTTGAAATTAAAAACGAGACGAGACTGAAACTTACGTCCCACGAAGTCGCCGAATGGTTGAAATACTTGGAAAGGACGCACAAGTGGGTCGAAGCAAAGTTTCCGACGCAATGTTGGTTCCTCACCCTGCATTGCCACCATATAGCGTTGTTACCAGCTCTACAAAAATACAGGAGAAAGCTGAGGAATTTACGCGATACCCAGAAAATGCTTGACGAGTTACAAGCCACCGAACCGCAATGGAAAGACACACCTTTCGCAGAACGCAATAAAGACTTAATAAAACGTTGCAAAGAGCAATTGAAACAACTTGGTAAATCCAAGTCTTGTACAGACGTTGGATTAATCGATCCTGTATTATTGAGGAGATGTTTGCATTTTTACATTTCCGTAGCGGAAGTTCTGTTGAGTCTGTTAACTCAAACTCCACCAGGGAATCCTCTTCCAGAACTTCCTTTAATGCACGAAATCCCACAAAAGTTTACAGCGCTACCAGAATGGTATGTCGAAGATATTGCCGAATTTTTATCGTTTACTCTTCAGTAAGTATTATTTTATAGTATTCTCGCAACATGGAACGAAGATTACCATTATATATACGATCACTGTATTCGATATTATTTATAGATTTAGTCCAGGCGTAGTAACAAGTAACATGGATAATTCACTTATTACATGGTTACTTGTTGTAGTATGTACCCCGCATTGTATACGAAATCCATATTTAATAGCAAAAATTATCGAAGTGCTGTTTGTGATAAATCCGAGTGTTCAGGTAATTTTCATCTATACAATATATATAAAAAAAAGAGCATTCCAGTTAATTTGTAACATAATCGTTGAAATATTATTATTTGTTTCAGGGACAAACTGAATCGCTACACGACCAAGTAATGGCACATCCTATATCGAAAACGTTATTGGCGTCGTACCTTATGAAGTTCTATACCGATGTTGAAACGACTGGCTCTAGTTCCGAATTTTATGATAAATTTTCTATTCGTTATCACATTAGTTTAATATTAAAATCTATGTGGGACAGTCCAGTACATCGGGAGTCGATCATTAATGAGAGCAATAATGGCAAGCAATTCGTGAAGTTCATTAACATGTTAATGAACGACACTACCTTTTTACTCGACGAAAGTTTAGAGGCGTTGAAACGTATTCACGAAATACAAGAACTGATGTCTGATCTTAGAGCGTGGGCAAGGCTATCGAACGAACAGCAACATTCGCGGATGAGGCAATTAGCGGCAGACGAAAGACAAGCCAGGTCGTATCTCACTCTGGCCAAGGAGACTGTTGCCATGTTTCATTATTTAACAGTCGATATCACGGAACCATTTCTGCGGCCAGAGTTGGTGGGAAGGTTGTGTGCCATGTTAAACTTTAATTTACAACAGTTGTGCGGTCCTAAATGCAAAAATCTAAAAGTACGAGAACCACACAAGTACGGATGGGAACCTAGAGCTTTACTTAGTCAATTGGTCGACATATATTTACATCTTGATTGCGATAACTTTGCGGCCGCTGTGGCCAGTGATGAAGTAAGTTCGCGATCACGCTAACGGGTACGTTAAATAATGGATCTTCCTTGCTCTAATAAACGCCGTAATTGCAGCGCTCATTTTGCAAGGAATTATTTACGGACGCAGCGAATAGGCTAGAGAGGTCAGTGATCAAGACTACGACAGAGATCGAAAGATTTATAGCGCTCGCGGAACGTGCTGCGGTCATTGCTAGAGATAATCGTGCACGCGACGAAGATTACGGTGATGCGCCTGAAGAATTTCGAGATCCACTTATGGATACCCTCATGGAAGATCCTGTCAAACTTCCGTCTGGTATCGTCATGGATAAAGCAGTCATTATTAGACATCTCCTTAACAGTTCCACAGATCCTTTCAGTCGACAACCTCTCAGTGAAGATATGCTTACGCCAAGTGAGTAAAATATTTATCGATAAGGTAAAATGTCAAAAACCATTTGGGACGTGCTGTAAACCAATTGAATTCACGCGACCATTAGAAAGTTAATAACGGACAAGTATATTTTTTACTTCTACAATTATAAATTGTTATTATTTTCAGTGCTCGATTTAAAAGAAAGGATATCGATGTGGAAACAACAAAAGAAAAAGTCCACAAATATATAAATTGTGATTCCAATTGCGACATCGACTTCACGGAAACATCACGATATCACGTAGCTGATGTTGTACTACACGATACATTTCGCAAGCTCTTAGATGTATCATTCTCGTGTGGTAAATGAATATAGTGCAATGATCTCGCTATTGTGCAAATATTGCGCTCAATAAATTTACGGTTTTTATACATTAAAACGTTAAACAGACTGCAGCTAGGTAACTGCCAACCATTACTCCAAGAATAATACTTTTAAAAGAACTTGTAAATAACTGCTGGCTGACACGTCAGCGCCCAGAGAAATTAAAATCTTATCCACAAACTTAGCACTTGTTCCTTTGTACGTACTGGTGCATGTGGCTGCGGGTAAAAGTTGAAAACATATCCCGCGTTCAATTTTCAAAAAAACAAATAACTAAGTTAAAATGGCATAGAATTAGGACATTTCCGTTCATCTCCGTCTTCTATCTAGAATTCGGTATTTATGAACAAGAAGCAACATTATTTGATGCAAAATTTACCCATAAGGTTTGTATGAAATATTTCGAGAGAAAGTTGTTATTGAAGTCTCGTTTTAGGTGTTAACATGTAACGTGTTGCACGTGTGAAAGAAAATCATTTACAGCAATTACGGCCCATTTTAAAGATCTACATGGTAAATGTATCATGCATATTCGTTCAATAAATTTCATGAACAAAGATACATACATGTATCTATGTACATATATAGCAATGTGTTATTCGGAACTGTTCCATCCAATTAAGTATTTTTTTTCTTTGTGCCGCGTGTAATTTTTTAAATAATTCTTTCTCGAATCTGATACAATAAATTCATATCTTTTTTTCTTATTATTACAAATTAAAGTGCTTATTCGCTTAAACTATATTCTTTTTCTGTGTGTTCATAATTTTCGAAGTCGTAAGGAATATCATTCGTACAGTCGTTTGATATTTTGGAAGAGAGTTGATATTTAAATATGCAAAAATATATTATGTATCAATGGTTATTTATATCACTGTCAAGATATGTCATTCATCAAACATAAGTAAATTTCTGACATTCCAAAAATTTGAAGAGTAATATTGGACGTTTAAAAGTATGTTTATATTCATTAACTTTACACTGTTTTTATATCGATTTAAAGTCTTTTTTGTATGTTGCATTTACAAAATTATATTTTTACGTTCAACTTAAATTTATTAATCATTAACATGAAATAAATTGATCATTGAATAATGTCAAACACCACTGCAATTTTTAAGACATTAGAATACATTTTAATGTAGTTGTAAATATGAATTACAAGATATTTCGCATCATATAATGTGGAATTAAAATTGCCTGTTGCAATTTGTTGAAATAAACAAATTATCATTCGGAATTGTAACAAATCATACGCATTATTGCATTGTTATCGATAATTTTTGTAGGTATAAATTTAAAATTTCTACGATCTACAATATGACTTTCACTGTTATTCACAGACTGGAGGTATATATTATTTGTTATCTTTTTATTTTACGCATTATAATCGAAAGGTTTGATGTTTAGTTATATTCTCAATGTATCAATGTTTTTATTATGTAACGATAACTTTCAATTTGTCATATAGAGAAATTAAACGAGGCATTCAATATAATTGACGATTAAGTACTGGAAAAAGAACAGCCACTGCAATCCCATATTTGTAAATAATTTTAGTTTTCTCATGTACTACTAATATTTGTAACAACATTTTATGTAATGTCAAAGAAACTAAGAATAACTCATCTTTTGGAAAATTCTTCGCATCATGTTTGTAAATATTAAGATCAATGTAAATTACTAAAATAAAAAGATTTACAAAATTAAACAATTTTTAATAAAATAGGTTTAAGTAACTGATATTACGAACATATATAAACAGAATTATGCATTATTTGTAAATGGTACAGAAAAATATATCTTTAAAACAATATTTGGTCTCTCTTTTATTATCTTTATAAAAAGTATAAAAGTTTGTATTTTTTTAAATGACAAATGTAACATTTTACTCTGATGTCAAACATGAAATATGTACATGTAGTTTAATTAGGACCACTGTAGTAATTAGTTAGTCAGTATTTGCTGGTCTTCCTCTACCTTGTCCAATTAATCTCAATCGATTTTCGTTCTGAATAATTTTGCCTCTTCCAATTCCCATTGAACTGATTACCGACTCCAAATCTTCAACATATGAATCTTCATTTGCTTCTCTTAACATAGCTTCTGAAAAGCCTCGAGGAGATCTTAGCTTTTCTTTAACAATATTCTTTCTTACACTGAAATCATACAATGATGTAATCAAAATGAAAATTAGTTTGTAATAAAGAATATGAAATTCATTATTACTTTGAATCCAAGTTTTCTTCAGGTGTTTCTGTATTATTATCCGAAATAGATTCATAGTCTGTTAAGAATTTTGAATTCTCATCTTCTTCATCCCAATTTTCTGTACAATCTATTACACTTGAAACTTCTGATTGGAATACAAAGTTTATTGAGCCATGTTTTTTTGGTTCTGAAAAAAAAGTATTTTAATATAATTACGATTAAAGTAATTGAAAGTATAAAATTAGAAACGAAATATAAAATTAACAAAAACCTGAGTAAATTTCAGATTGTAATACACTACGTGCAGGACACGTAATAATATGTTCTTCCAATTCATGTTTGAATAAACGATGAGTTGCATTATAAGGGCATAGAATTTTGTAATGCTCTGGATATTGCTACAACAAAGGTATAATTAGTTAATTAATTCTTGTACGTACATTCTAACGATGTTTATGTATAATTATTTTGCGAAAATTGTCTTACTTTTTCACATTTTACAATGTGCTTTTGAAGACGAGACTTTGAAATTAGATGATTTTTATTATAAGGACATATTACAACCGGGTCAAGTAACTTAAGACACGTATACATTTTGTTATTAAACAAAAAACAACTGAAAAATATAAGTACTGCAAGATTTAATCGAGAACTTTGTTTATAGTAGCCGGTAACACCACGGACATGTGGGTAACACAAGTGCCCAACTCAATACATTAATATCAGCTAAACGGGCAGTACTGTAGTCATAGACAATGATGCGTTTATTTTTATTTGGAGCAACTAAGGGCATTAGTTTTATTATGATCGCATTAGATACTTTACTGACGATAAAACCAGTGCGCATGCGCGACTGCAAGCAGAATCTGGCATCACAGCCATAACACAAAAATCACAAACAAAAAAATAATCGACATTATAATTTTCGATACATCGATCGACATCGATTTTATTACGTCGTGCATCAATAACAATCAATAATCCCGATCAATCACGGTTATGTTCGTTTGTTATTTTTGTTGGATTGTAAAACTTAAATTTATTCAACAAAATAGACATTTAGGAATTCTACGAAATCAAAATATCTTTACTCGCCTACATTGCATGATTTCTTTAAAGGATTCATCTTGAAATAAAATTATGTTAAGATATGCAACTTTGTTTTCTACCCAAGAAAATTTACAATGAATATTTTATTACAAATAGGAAATAAAAATTAAAATCTAAATTGATAAAAAAAATTATTTATTAAATCATTCCGTAAAAACTTATTTTTCCTTCCGCGATGAAGTATAAAGGTACACATTTTGTTTTTGTCATAATTACATATTCTACATATCTATTTAGGTTTAGCATTTTTTTTTTGTAAATAATCACATTATATATACTTTAGAGGATTAATTTCGCTGCATTAAATCTGCATCATCTGTTCTGTATTTAAAAGTACAATATATCTTCTTGTACATAGTAAATCAAATAAAATTATTTAAATTAAGTTCATATTTATTAGTTTTAAATAATATTCACTAACCTAATCACATCCTACACTTTAAACAAAAATTTAACACAATAACAGATTTTGTAATTGTAGTTGAAAATAAATCAACAGTTTAATGTCATTGCTGCATTACAAAATTATCTTCTGTATTACCAAATGACAACACAGTACGGGATTGCATGATTACTGATACAGCATAAGAATTTATTGTCATATCAAATGTGGAAACATCGGTGTTAAGTTCTGTTTTAAAATTACAAAACTTTGAGGATATGCATAAGGTCTTATTGTTTAGTATTCTAAACAATGAGATAAATTATATAGAAACATAAATATTTAAATAATTATGTTTAAATTCACATTTTCACACTTATTTTAGGTGCGAGAATATTATGCTTATTACACACATCAGAGAAGGTACATCAAATTCTAAATAATGTAATCAGTTTGTACATATTAAAGATCAGCGCATTGCTAGAAAGTCATCTCTAAATGTTTACCGCATTACAAAAATTGATAATGTAATACAATAACTGGAAAATAAATTTCATAATGTACATGGTAATGCTTGGGAAAAGAAAGCACTAAAAATTACTTTCTTGCAATGCAGAAAGCAAATCTGAATAATCCGATAATTGCGTAACGAACGATCCGTATCAACCCAGAGAGTAATGAAAGTAGATAAATTTATTTAAGATTACGCGTTAGATCGGCTATCAGCTGCCCGTATAATTGCTCGAACGTTCAAGTTCTCTTTCGCATAATGATACAAGACCTATGTATATTACAGATAAGGAAGAGGATCCACAAGTAAACAAGCAACAACATACAAAATGCCTAGAAACATATTTAATTTAGCTGTTTGTTTAGGCACACTCTGAATCGTATGAGGGGTTCGGAATTGCTTTTCTATTTTGAAGGCAGTTGGCAAGGTAACCACCGGTAACAGAAACCAAACGGAATACCTTAGTGCAAGCACCACAAGTGTTATATATGGTGTGAATAATAAAAAAGCATACAAAACATGAGATACAGTGTGACCTATTAAAATAGCTAGAGTTACTATTCCAGCTTTTTTGTCACTTTCTAAATCTCGTGTGTTGTTACTATGTAAAATAGCCTCTGTATTTAATGCAAGAGGTATAGCATAGTATATTGTACCTAATTCAATATATCCAGTCTGAGCCATGAATGCAAACAAAACAGAAATTGGACCAAATATAACTAAAATAAGAACATCACCTAATGCAATATATTTAAATCCTATTCCCCCTGTATAAAGAAATGACGAGGATAAACCTCCGAAGTACACGAGTGCGAGAAGCTCCATTTTTGCAGGAGATATAGTAGTCAATAAAACGAAACCCAAACATCCTGCGGCATACAACAATGCACCTAATGAAACTAATTCATCTTTCGACAAAAGTTGATCCACTAATATTCTGTCGTCACTTTTTCGGCTATCTACTCCTTTTATGTAATCGAAGTATGTATTTACTACATTACCAGCCCCATGTACACAAAACACTGTGTATAATGTGAGAATGAAAGATATCCAACTGAAGTTCGCCAATCCTGTTAACCGATAAGCAAGCGCAGATCCGAGAAGCGTTGGCATTAACGAAGCGCTTAGGGACCACGGTCGTACAGCTAAGAAGTACGAAGATAACTTCATTAATGGAGAATTCAATGTCGATGATGTTTTGGGTGAACAACTTGCATTGTTTGACATTGATTTTCTTTCGATTTCCTTCGTTGAAATCCGAATACCATTGGACACCATATTTTTTTCTAAGCTACAAAAACAAATACATAATTCATTATTTTACATCATATACAAAAAAGTTATTAGAATCATTTGCAATAACGATTTGTCATGACGATTTTGTAGAATGTTTTCAATTTTAATGTGCAAAATAAATACTACATATGTTTTTATAGACATTAATCGGACTTATATAAGAGAGAAGAAAACCTGTTCACATGATTTTTCCATCGATACATTTTAAGAGATACTGTATGAAACCAGATATTAACATTGTTGATATGTTAATATTAGCAACTTAAATTACTACTATGTTCAACTTATTGTAAAAATTACGAAAATTGATGCATTTGAAAGCTAAACAATAATATTTTGAACAAGGAAATTTTCTCTTACCATAAAAGTTATTAATACCATATTATTATAAGCGGTAATCGAACAATTAAAAACAACTTTATTTCCTGATGTAAATATTGTATTGTCAAAATGAACTTACCTACTATTCATCAGAACGAGAGAAAGTTAGGTTAGAATTTCAATCATAATGAAAACTTTTTGATTCCTTAAACGAAACAATTTTCACATAGTTAACATTTGAACTTCGCGTTCGAAGAAGAATTCGGTTCCTCTTCTTGTATACGTTTCATGTAACGGTGACGTGTTTTCATTAATTTGCACGTGGCGCTCTCTGAAACATTTCCTTTTTTCTGTATTAGTCAACAGTATTGTCAGTGATTTTCACTTTCTCATGAAAAATTCAAAAATTTCTAATTTATTTTCCATCTTCCGAACTTTTCAACTCGCGAATGATTATATATTACACATAATCGTTTACTGTATTTTTGATAATTCGTTTAGTCTTTTAATTTTTCGGGTAATTCAGGTATTCTTAAATGCTTAAGCAGGAACGATCGTGCCGAAATATTTGTATTCTATTCAAACTACTGAAGTTATCGTAATCTACTTTCTCTGATATTTTTATGTCAAGTGTCTCATACTTTCATAAATTTGTCTGTATTAGTTGTACGAAATAATAAATTCTAAACGATTCGAATCAATTCGATCGTTTCTACAGTAGAAATTAAATGTTCATGATACCATTTCCTCGGTGAACCGAAAAAACAATATTCTATTCATATTGAGAACAATTCAAAGATTTATTTTGTATCTCGCGACAACGTATTGGTTGAATTCCAGGTGTCACAAGGAGTCACGGATTTAGGCGTGTAAGGAGAAAGTCACCAGTTCCGGCTATCCTCCCCACCGCGCAGCTGTCAAACGCCATTCCTCGTAGAAGACCAAGAAGTGTATTTAGAAAAAGAACACTATAGATGGCTAACTAGATAGAATTCACCCTATACAGGGTGTCTCAAAAATGTTGTAACACATTGAAAAAGGTGGTTCGGGAGGTGATTTGCAACAACTTTTTCCTTAGCGAAAATGTTGTCCGAGGCTTCGTTGAGGAGATATTAACGGAAAATACTGACCAATCAGAGCGCGTATATACCATTGGAGCGGCCGCGGTAGCGTATGAGCGCTGCCGCCTAGCGCGTAGCCTACGCTCAACCGGCATACTCACGTTCTGTTTGGTTGGGGTTTTCCATTTTCGCTAAGGAAAATGTTGTTTCAAATCACCTCCCGAACCACGTCTTTCAAGGTGTTACAACATTTTTGGGACACTCTGTATATTACTATATCGAACATGTAGTGTCACCAGAATTTTTCCTAGTTAGGGAGATGGCGTTCCCAACCAGGGAATTTTCCTAGAGGGATTCTAGGAACAAACGAATAGGGACTCCAGAGCTTCAACGTCCTAGTGGCTTTCATAAAGATGATCCTTATGTATATAAGGACAAACATTACTACCAATCACATAAAAAAGATCGATAACTAGTAACTTTCTCCTCAAACGGTACGATTCGTGTCACTACAAGAACGTCATAAGCTTCATGAAAACAGGTGTAGTATCGAAAAACTATATATGCGCTTGTGTGTATGTGTAACTGTGTATTAAGAGAAGCCTGTTCACTGTGTGTGTAGGGACATTCGTCGTTTTGAGATTGATAAACGCTGGTGTCAAGCTGCTAAGTAGTACTGGACGTTCGCTTGCGTTTCGGCACATTCCAGAAATTTCTACAAATCTCGCGAACCGTAACCTGTTATAAAGCGATTTGTATAGTTTGTCTTGATTAAAGCATTTTGTGTCTCTCGATTCCCATCGATCGTAAGTTTCGTCCTTGCGAGCAGTGTTCGATTTTCTGTTTTCCAAAATGTCCTTGTTCGGTTCACTGATGGGTGATTTCGACGACGATCCTATTTTTGGGTGAGTTGAGCGAATTTTCTTAACATTTCTGTATACCGTCAGATGCGCACACCATATTGTATGGAATTATTTTCCATCGATTTCTTCTTTGCACCGTTTCTTAAGCTATAAATTTACAAGAAACGTATTCGTAATCACGCTTGACTACGAAATTTCCCGAACATTTCGTGAAAAGTCGTTGTCAGATACATGTGTTTATAGAATTATTTATTTTAATACCATGTAACTTGTTACATAAATTATATTCTTCCTCGACGAATTGCGTTTATCATAGAGAGAGAGAATATAAATATAGAGAAGCAATGCGTTCGAGACACGTTCATTGTTAAAAAATTATGTATTACACTTAATGTATTAACTAAGCCAACTGAATATTCTGAATGTAGCATTGAATACAATGTGATAATGTTTTATAGCTCTTACTTCATGTGTTCATAAGAACATAAAATAATCAAGAATATGTTAAACATAAGATAGAAGATTCGTTTCCATAGCAACTCACATTTATTTTCTGTCCATGCCATGTGACATACTTTGGAATCATTTTCTTATTCTTTTGTAGACAATGTAATCTATCAAAATTGATCCATTCATATGTGTATATATGTATATGTATATGGATGCATTATGGAGGTTTTATTATAACTAGTAAGGGAATCGTATGATAAGACTCAAATCATGCTGCTTCTATTCGAGTAGAGTGATAATAATATTTAACAATTACCAATGTTTAGAATTATTTTTTATAAATACTATTTAATGATTTGTTTGTTCACATTCCCTTCAGTTTGTAACTGACCCTGTCCAAAATGTATTCATCTTGGTCGTAGGGTCTCCTTGTAAGCAAGGTATATCAGAGTTTTAATTATGTTTTTATTACAGGTCCTCAATGCGGTCTATGAGACATATGATGAACTCTTTATTCAATGATCCATTCGAAATGATGAATCAGAATGCTATCACAAATGATCCCCACAGGACTAGAAATCACCAGGATGATCTTCAGATGATGCCATTTGGATTTCCACCGATGCTATCGTTTAATATGGGTCGATTATTCACAGATTTTGTAAGTAAATTGGGGTTTATGCCTTCTTGACTCTGAAAAATGAATCAGTTAAATTAAATTAAATTTGTAGAAATCAATACACCTAATTGTATTGAACATGTTGAAACCAGACAAGTAATCACACCGTATTTATCATGTTTCAGGACAATATGGCACCACAAGGAAATTGTCATTCCTTCACTTCTAGATCTGTAATGACAATGGCTAGTGGTCCCGATGGGCGTCCGCAAGTATATCAAGAGACCATGTCTACAACAACTGCTCCTGGAGGTGTGAAGGAAACGAAAAAAACAGTTTCCGATTCTCGCACTGGAGTAAAGAAAATGGCTATAGGTCATCACATTGGTGAGAGGGCACATATTTTGGAGCGAGAGCATAATGTTCGTAGTGGGGAGCAAGAGGAACGTCAGGAATTTATTAATCTCGAAGAAGGTGATAATAAAAATACTTTCCATTTTCTAAAGAATTTTTTGTATTTTAAAAAAAAATAAGTAATTTAACATACGAACATTGTTTTACAGAGGAAGCAGAGAGTTTCAATAATGAGTGGGAAACGCGTACTCGCCAAGCAGTCGGTGCGATTGGCAATTCGCGTTACGGTGCACATGGTCATAGAAGTCGTCCTGATCATAGACAACTGGCTTTACCTGATGCATCGGGAAGGTTAGTCTATTAAATTTATAATATATACAGTAGAGAAAATTTTGAAGAAAGTACTGGTTAAAAGTAGGGTGATTCTTTTGAAAGAGCATAGATCAATTTATACTAAAGAGAATGTTAAAAAATATTCTTTATAATGGAATATCAATGCACGTAGCATGCACAGTATAGTAGAAAATACATATTTTTATTTCTTGCCACGAGTATGTCTACAAATATAGCAGTAATAGACATACTGATGAAGTAGTTCTTATTTGGAAATTTGGAAGCTATGTAGTAGATATGGGATTAGAAATATAAAAGTTTATTCTATTTAATTAATAAGCTAATATATGCAATGTAAAGTAATATTATTGAAATATTCAAATTTATACAGTGTGCATAAGAAATCCAGAAGGCGAACCAGTAAAAAAAAGTGAACGGAGAAATGGGATCACATCACGCTATATTAATTGTTTCTCATTTCGCGCGTTTTCTGCCAAAATTTTGTATCAAGTATTAAAATAAAAGAACGCATGGCTTAGTATTTATTTCTTTTCCCTAGATTCAGTGTAGCATGATCGATAGATGTACTTGCATTGCATTATAATATTCTTGTGATACTTATTATTCTTAGATTTAACGGTACACATGATATTAAATTATAATCAACATTCTAATGTGTCGCGAATCTATCATTTTCGTAACAATTATTCGTCAACTGTAAAGTCAAAAAAATAATAAAAACGAATGTAATAATAAACCATATAATGTTGCACTTGATTTTCTATTGTGTAAACAAATATAAACATGCTAATTGTACTCTACTTCCACTGTAATTCAAAGGTACTAACGAAAACGTCCAGGAAGCTATGGTTCTAGTTTGTTATTTTGTATCAGCTCCGTTTTTATTTTATTGATTTGCTTGTTATGTGCTTTTATAGTCGATACTCGAATTCTTCGAGATGGACACCTTCTCCTAGACGTAGTATAAGATCACCACCTACTTCTAAGACACACACTGCTGCTTCTGCTTTAAGGTAAGTTTGATTAGCATTGTAAGATGTTCAGATCGAAAAACATTGGTAAGATTGTAGATAATAACAAAGATAATAAAACCCGTGATTCCAACGATAGCTTTTTATTTTTATCGGTAATTGAATACAAAGATACGTAATAAGAGCGATGTAGATAAATTTCTAATTAAAGATTGAAGCATTATTACGTTTTTATCTTTGTATTTTATCATGGATAAGAAAAAAAAACCATTACTGGAAACTTAGTATTGTATTATGTAAAAAATATCCATGTGTTCGTGCAATAAAGTAAAACTAATTTCAGTGATAATTTAAACACTTTTACACCCACAAGACATTTTATAATACAGTATGCAATTGTACACATGATTTATTTAAATAGATGACGGATAAATATATTAGCTGTAAATTTGTTGCATGTTTGATTAGTTGATACACCCAGTAGTTTTATTTGCTTAAATTTCTTTTTAGAAAACACTATGTATCATCATTAATTTGTCTGAAAAGCTTTTATTACTTTATAGAGTAAAAATATGAATCTATTTTTTTCTGTTTATGTTTATTTCAGGAGAATATCGGAAATAATAGAATGCATTCTTATAATTCTATGAATGTTCTAATTGCTAAAATTATGCTCTTTCTTCTATTCACATATTAAATAAAGTACTATTCGTGGCTGTATTTATTTGTTTATTTGTCAATTTATCATTTATCTTATGTTCTTTGTAATGTAGCAAAAGATATTGGTATGGAATACACCATATTGTGTATTGCAGGTACAGCCGCAAATATTAATAAAATAAAAGCATAGTACACAGTGGTGACACTTGTGCAACGTAAGTACGTTGCGTTTCATCCTACATTATTTGTTATGTTGAGCATTATAACTTATTAATATACGTTTACGATTATACGTTGGTTAGTTCTTGATAAAGTAAAAGTGTTATTTCACACTAAAATTGTAAATAAAAAATTTCTCATTAGCCGTAAAATTTTTAATTTGCAATTTTATCATTTACTATAAAATTATCATTAAAAAATTCTTTCCATGAACTAATCGCATAACAACAGAGCAATATTTGTTACTTTACATTCGTTTGCTTTTGAAAGAAGCAAACATACTATACTTTAAATATTCTCATGTTCGCAGTTCTGATACATCTGGTCGTATCAAATCAGTTGCTGCTAAACCAACAGCAACAGTAACAGCATCTTCAGCAAATGCAATAGGAAACCGAAAACGTGAACATACACCGGATGCTAAAGTTTGCAAAAAACGTCACTCTGAATCAGATAGTAATATTTAGATCTTATATTAGAATCATTTAAACTATATTCTAACAGTACTGCAAAACTTCGGTAAATTTGTTCTCGTTTAAAAAACATTTCATAGAAGTTTAAAAGTATTACTTGGTTCAATTAATTCGCAAAATGTATATTTTACAATCGACTTTATATATACATCTTAGAGATAGAAATAAAGTGAAGTAGTTTCTTTTGTCCCTACATTTTTTTGTTTGTTTCTCAAATTTTAATCTTTACTTAAAGTACGGTATGTTTATATTTACCGAAGTTTCCACTGCAGTTACTTTCCATTTTACGAATAGATGTACTATTTCTAGAATCTTTATGGATGATGATATGTAATTAGATATAGAGATTCTGCGGGATTATGTATAACAAGGTATATGAAAAGTATGTGAGTAAGAATGCATAAGTATATAATTCTGTCTTGAATGCGTTTACAGATGCATCATCGAAGAATTGTTAAAGAATCATTATTTCTCGAAAAGTTTAACTTGTGGTAAAAAGAATGATTTGGGAAGGTACATTATACTTTGTTGGAACAATTATTGTATTGTCACTTACATTCTTTAGTATTTTATTTTCGTTGATGTCTTGAAGATTAATTTTAAGCAAAATTCAACTGTTTAGCTGTATTTTTTGGTACAAATTATATTTGAGCACAGATATGTGTTTGTAGTGAGTGTATTCAACAATGCCAAATATAATAGGAAGGAACATATTTTGGAGTAGCGTATTTATCAATAAATGAACAACTTCATGTAATAATTTTTCTTGTCACCGTTTATTCAAATAAAAATTATAGATGTAGTTATAACTCAAAACCCACGTTTTACATTAAAAATAAAAAGATTAAATATAAATCATCCCTAATACCAGAGTTTTCAGTATAGTTTTTCTACATAAGCAATAAACTAATTTAGCCTTATCAGGCTTTGTTTCAATGAAAACATTAATGAATTTGTCAAGCACTAGTAAAACTTCGTCCATTTTAGAACAGTACTAATAATTATAAATTCATAAACAACAATATTACTGAATTTAAAAAAATTATTTTCATAAAATATAAGCGTTTCTTAATGTTTTCATTGAATCAGCACTTCGCAATATTGCAAAAAATACTGTATATATTTTTATTAAGATTTCCTTAAAAAATATTGAACTCTATATCGTAACAAGAATAAAATCAATTTTTACAATACATAGTAAAGCATTATCATGGTAGTCAATAAAAAAAAACAGAAAGTAAGAGGAAAGCCGGCAATAAAATGACATGTTATATTTTGTTTGTACCACACTGGGTGGATTGACGTCTGTTAATTATCCTCTGCTAAAGTGTTAATTCTTGCGTTAATAGCCAAAAGTTGACCCACAAAGGCTGAATCGCTTATAACCGTGGCAAGAGCAGAAAGCAGATCTTCTAACGTATCCTGCGACAGACCTAACTGTCGAGCACATTCTGCAAGGATTTCTTTCTCCTCTGCGTCAGGATTAATCTAAAGAAAATTTATCTTTTTAGGATCGAGAAATTTCATTATGTAATATATATTGCATGCAATATAGATTAAATAAGTTGATTTACCATCGGTGAACTGCAAAATTTGTTGAATGGCATTTTGACCCTTTTCTTGCCATTACTCGTCTGATAAAAAATTGTAAAAGTTGGAGCGTTGTTCCTGTCTAGCTCAACTGGGAAATATATACCAGCTGTAAGATGACCTTTCGTGTCTCTCGCAAGAAGACTTCGGAAATTATAAACCAAATTTCTTCGTTCCGTAACATCAATGGCAGTTAAGTATGGCCTTGCTACATATATAAGGGCAACTTGTGTTCTCTCCAAGGCACCAGGTCGAGTTTTTCTCTCATGCCATTCGACATAATCGGGATCATTAGCGCATAGAAAGTAGTTGTACTCTTTCTTACAATCTGGCTCGTCATATTGGGTGAACCAGCCAGTATGCGGATATGATTTATCTTCCATTACAGTAATGACTCGAGCTACGTGATATCCAGGATCAAGAAGCATGACTCCTCGACGCCCGTTAATATCAATTTTCAGACACACTAGTACGTGTTCCTTCTCCCCACTGTCAGCAGCGGGTGGTCCACCGACGTAAGTCTCGACGTTGTCAATAGTCTAAAGAATACGATACATTGATTGTATAATTACACTTCGATACATTAAATTTTTATATAATTTTAAGCATACTTCTTCACAGGATACCAAATAGAGGCCACTTGCTATACCAGGAAATGTTTTGTTCAACCCACTTAACCGATGTAATAGCTCAAATCCTAGACCCACACAAGTGTGATGTTCACGCATTATAAGTGGTTGATATTTGCGATAAAATCTGTCTAATATGCTTTCACCACTTGCAACATAGTCCTTGTAGAATCTATTGCGAGGAGAAATGTTTCATTAAAGATTTATTCAAGATTATGGTTACCCAAATATAAGAATGTAAGATGCTATATTTACCCAAGAAAGTTGCCAACGGTATCATAGCGATGCTCGCGCAGTAAGTGTTGCGTTTCTAATTCAACGCTGCCTGCTAGTTCCTCGTACTGTTCGACCGTTGACACAGTCAGGGCTGGTGACTCATAATGGGCCCAAACCGGCAGGGGTAGCGGCACACCCCTGATCCAGGGCCCGCGTGCCTGCCCCTGTGGCTGGCACCATATTTCTGCCGTCTCGAGTCAACTTGGCCACTCGCTTCCCCATCGGCCAACTGTTGGCACGAAGCCATGCTCATCCCTGCAGCTGCTTATTGGCTCCACAGGGCTCTCTCCGTGCTTTATACTCTTCTCTCGCTCTGCAAAGAAAAAATTTAAAAGCTACTATCTTATTTCTCAAATCATTCCTTTCAAAGAATTTTTTATTAATATTATAAACAAAATTTATATCATATAAGTTTTATTGAGAAAATTTTAAAACATAAAATTTGCGTAAGGGAAGGTTAATCAACGCCATTTAAGTCTCACTTACAACAATCATTATTGTTATCGTTAGATTTATTTACCGTAAGTCCACTGCTATTTAAGAACACGAATCAATACGGTTCCGTATGACAAAATTTGGAAAATAAATCCGGAGAGACGAATCGGTTTTGTCGTTGGCATAGTGTCCAACATGGCGACGTAGTATATACGCGTGGTGAATCAATACACGACCAAATAGAGATGTAGCGTGCCACGTGTCTACTGCGACCTTCGCCGCACGGTGTTACCCGATCGTGCTAATGCACTTTGCTTGCGTGGTAATCCGAAAGAAAGGATTTGCTGCCATTAGCGAAGCGTTAAAATGACGTTGATCTCCCGACGAACTTAACTCCTATTATTTAATACTTTTCAAATCGATTCGAAACAAATTAATCATCGAAACGAAGGCAATTATGTAAGTATAAACAAAAAAAAATCATACAGGTTCAATGTTCTCTTCGAATTAACATAACGTTGCGACTTATTCGGAAACAAAGAAGGTTTCGAATTCAATTCGTAAAGACGGACAGAAAAACACGAAGATGCTGAAAACAATTCTGTTTACATTTTGTTTTGCGCATCCATGATTCGGTCTCTCCGAAACAGTGTCGCATCGTCACGAAATTCTCGCCTTCGTTCGTTACGTCATTAAACGTACTAACTCATGTCGCAAATATGCAGGATTCAAGGCGAAAAGTATTTCCTTTATCAACCAGCCGTGAACGATGTTTCATGCAAGGTATAGGTAAATCGTTCCAACATTACGAGAATTTATTCCGTAACCGAATACAGATCGCGTTTACCTCGATTATCAAACACGGAAGACGAAAACGTAAACTTAAACCAGTATTCAACTTACCCATACAATGAGCGCACCAAACAAACAAAAACTTTCTCTCCTCGGAAGCTTGGCACAGTTCACGTGTCCGAAGCTGAGCAGAACTGGGTGGTGGAACGTGAGCGGGAAGATTATATACGTTCAGAGGCTATCACCCCTCTCCCTCCTTACCCCTCCGCCCACTCTTTGATCGGTCACCACGTGACCGCTACTCTCATGCAAAGTTTAGAAGACGCAATTCGCGCAATCCTCTTTCTTTATAAACAAACCAGGATACTGATTTCTTTTTCTTATCTGTTATCAAACGTATCGCGACTACTTGATCGTCTTACATCCGATAAACTTGTTTACGTCCGAATAATGGACGCGTTTTCACATGATCGTTTGAAATCACAGATGGAGAAACTCGTATCTAAGATAAGAATTTTTAATAACGAGTAAAAGATACTGTTTAAACGTTAAACAAAAATTATTATTTAATAAACGAAGGACGAACCGTTCCTTTTATATCGTACTCGTTCGAAATTTCGATCTAGATAAATGCTTTCCCCATCTTTGAAGGTACCGTTTAATGTTCTAAGAATCCGTAATCCGTATACGTAACGGAAATATTCATCTTTGATACCATTGGTGGAACGCATCGCGCCTCTGAAAATTATACGGGTTTTCAGCTGTTTGGGTATCGAACACTTACGTCAACGAGTGGAATAACGTCACGATGAGTAATATACCATATGCTTACGTTATCTGCAACGCTAACACAATTAGCGCGATTTCCAGGAAAAACAGGATATACCTGGAGTCTGGGTTTGTCCAGCTCTTTATTCACTACCTAGACATTGAATGTGCTATTTTCATCGACCTTGAAAATGAAATTTTCAAGGGTCCGACTTTTCTTCGTAAATAGAAACTTATTATCGCAAAATTGTAGGCCGCGAGGCCGTACCGTTGTTTTAGTGAATCAGTTGAGGTCACGGATAAGTGAAAGCAATACATACCCACCTACAAATCTGGATATACAATCGCGCACGAATTAGTACATAGTTCGCATTAAATACGCTGACTATCGGCCACGTGATTATAATGTGACCCGTTGTATATACTCCGATTAGGATGAAGTTACGACGCAATATTATTACTCGATAAAATTGGAAGTAAACCAGCTGGTATTGGTACAATTTGCTTAAGAATAGTTGGACAGCTGAGACAATAAAAATCCATAGACTTCATATCATATGTAACAATTGTGCAGCAATTGCAACTTCTCAATTAACTTTTTCACTCGAAACAATGCAATGACGTAATTAAGAATTTTGAGGTTCTTTGTAAAGATAAATTAATCCTCACCCTTTGAATATTATTAAAAAACTAAGCAAGATTTCGAATTTTTATAGACTAACATAACCATCCAAATGTTCGTATAAAATATTTCTGGAAGACAATTACGAAGAAAAGTAATATTTTTAGTTTTACACTGAAACACCGTATGTATTCGAAATGTTTTCGTGTTACAGATGAGTCATACGTTCCTTTGTTTATGACCAAGCAAAAAATTTTGTAGTCTGCATAAATATTTTGCCCAAGAAGTCTGCCCGAAGTTTCTGTTAACTTTCCGATCGATAGATTAAAAGGTGGATCAACTAGAGTGTGTATCGAGAACGTTTTTCTTTAGATTGCAAATACATAGTTGCGCAAAGTGTAAGAATTTATGATCCTATGGAGATCAGTGACGTAAAGATATATTTTGTCTTTCACTCTTTATGTATGTTACATTGGTGGAATGCATCTGTGTAAATGTCTTCCCATGTGTGTAAATAAACAATGACCCTGGAATGATTTATGCAGTACTTTGTTTCTCGTACGAATTGTAAAATAAAGTTGAAACGGTATTTCATTTACTGATAAGTTTAATCATCGATGATAACCTATTGGCAATAATCTCGCGCAATTACGCCTTGCCAATATAACAAATTAGAAGAATTTCACATTAAAAATCACGATACGTAGACACTTCTTAATATATATATTCTATATATATAATAGAATCGCAATCACCTTATTGATGATTCATACATAGTTAGTAAACTTACATATACATATGTATATGTGAATACTCGAGTGTCTATCTACAATAATTGAAAAATACTAGTATATATTGAGTATTACAAATGTAAACCTCAGTATTTTACTTAAATTCTTTAGCTCATATACCGATAATACACCTATAGATTAACAGGTGATTAATTTGAATAAAAATCAAAGATAAAAACAGGTTATGATATAATCGTATTAATTATATAAATATTTCGAAAAATTTTTCAGCGAATTTGATCATAATCTTTGTTGATTTTATCATGTGATTTGAAGTCAAATATTGCTCCCTAACATTAAATTTTGATGTTCATTTGACGCACGTGATGCGAAAAGACCAATCAGATGAATTAACACAGAATTATCGATATTCCACTGCATCTGAATAAGATTGAAAATTGCCCAGACACGTAACGCGTACTGTGATATCGTGGTGTATCTCGTTATATCGTGAATGTTTCGTCGATATGAACTTGTATACATTTTTATGGTATTAATCCGATAATAATAACTTTTATGGTCGTCTCGAAGAGATTTCTAACAATTTCCTGTGCGTACTTTTTATTTATATCACGAACGGAAGATAGTTGACATGTTGAACAAGTTTGAAATATTTGCAGTAATTCCCGATAAGTGGAAGTTTCCGTACGCGTTGCGCAATGTTTATTGCTCGAAATTTGTATTTTTGCACTTTTTAACAGCTGACATTAACGATCTCATCAGTTTCCTTCTATTTCTATACACGTAGTTTGTATAACACGCAACATATGCTGCTCGTTGTTTCACATATGGTATACTTAAGTTTGTTTCTAAAATTTTAGGACATACAAACGAAGAGAAGACACTTCAAATGATGATGAAGTTAATATGAAATTAATGTTGTATAATGTTTCTTTGTATACATGTCCATTTTGGGACAATAAAAATATATTTGAAAGATGACAACATTTATGATGTATTTAAATCATCATGATGGAATTATATACATATGAGAAAGTATCAAAATTTGAAAGCAGAAAGTATTAAGTATTGTTTTTACTTTGGTTTTAAGTCTATAAATTAATGTTTGATGTATAATTTATGTTTTTAGGAATTAAGAAATTGTATTAATTGTGTCTCTTTGGAAATTGAGCAACACATAAATTTACAGCAATGGAACCTGAACCAATGGATAACTTGTATCTTGCATTAATACAATGCTTTGCTATTATATTATGCGGGTAAATTCTATATAATTACTTACAAGTTTCAAAATACTTTGTATACAATAAATTAAACAATACATTTTTCAGATATATTGCCGGAAGGTTTAATGTCATCTCAAAGGTAGAAGCGACTGGCCTAAATACTTTCGTAGGAACATTTGCTTTGCCCTGCTTAATTTTTATGTCGCTAGCAAAACTTGATTTTACTCTAGTAAATTGGAAATTCCTACTTGCCGTATTATTAGCCAAAAGTTCTATATTTTTTCTTGTACTTGGAGTATCTTTAGTTATTAAAAGACCATCAAATCCAGGATGTGCAGCACTTTTTGCAATATTTACCACTCAGAGTAATGATTTTGCTATCGGATATCCTATGAGTAAGTAAGATATAAGGCAGTGATTTCCACATTTTTTGGGTGCCTCCCAAGAAATGTATGTACTTACTGTATGCACTTTACATGTTACATTACTATTGACATATCTTTACAGTTGCTGCAATATATGGAAAAACCCATCCGGAATATTCTGCATATCTGTATTTAATGGCACCTATATCACTGGCTATTTTAAACCCAATTGGTTTTGTATTGTTGGAAATTGGCAAACGTAGAACTGAGAATCATACAAGTTACAAAGACATGGTTTATTCTATTGCAAAAGGAATTGCATTGAATCCAGTGCTTTTCATGACAATACTTGGTATTATTGGAAATCTTATTTTCAGTCATGTAGTACCATGCGTGCTTGCCACTGTTCTAGATGTATTTGGCAATGCTTTCTCAGCCACTGCTCTTTTCTTATTGGGTTTAATGATGGTTGGCAAAGTGCATAAATTGAAAGGCACTGCCCTTGTTATACCAGGCATATTAATATCTGTAAAACTGTTAGTTCTTCCATTGGTTATAAGAGAATCTATTATTCTTTTAAATACTGGAGGAAATGCTACGGATACGCAGGATTTAAGTACATACGGATTTTTGTATGGTACTATTCCAACAGCCCCAGCATTATTTATTTTCACTCTCAGATACAATCTCGAAATTGATTTAATTGCATCGGCAATGGTTGCTTGTACATTTTTATCTGCTCCTCTTATGTTTGTATCTGCAAAACTAATCGATGCAGTTTCGGCTGGAATTACTCCAGCGAATTATATGCATCAGATAAATTTATTTTCTTTCGACGTAAGCGTTGCCTCTATAACAGTTTGCGTGTGGTTGCTGATATGTTTCCTCGGTTTGGAAAGAAAAAAATATACGAGTGCTACTCATCGATGTACATTGTGCATTGTAATTGCACAGGTTTGTAATAATATATATAATATTTATAAATCTATATAGAGCATAGTCCAATATACAGGAATTACAATTTTAGTTAGCTACAGCTGTAGGTGTGGTAATTTGGACGAAACTTGAACCGCATAGCACTGGATCAGTTTTATGGTAAATTACGATACTTTTTATCGCTTATTTTATTTATTTTTTGCATTACTATAGTTCCATTTCATTGTAGGTATGTTCAGTTCGTTTTAATTACCACGGGAGTATATGCGAGTCGCATGTGGACAATGGCAATAGCTGCAACGCTATTATATCTGAGTTCTCGTTCACTGAACTTTGTTAAAAATATGCAAAAATGGTTTTTCCCTGCTGGATGGGGGTATGTAAAAAAATAATAAATTTGTTTACGATTAAAATGATGAGTTAACTATAAGTTACATGCATTTACAGGCTTCCACTTTTAATAGTGATCGTAATGTGCTCTACAATTACTCCAAAGGATTCTGAACTTGAGTTTAGAAATCCTAATTTTCAGTTTGGTAGAATTCAAGCTGCGATTTCTACCCTCTTGTTAATATTTTGTTTTATCGGTACGGTTACGATAGATGCCATATGAAATTCGTAATACGAAATGGCTTTTTAAAATTGTATGTTTTATTTATTACAGTAACGCTGGGCTGTTTAGTTTTACAACAAAGGTACCAGCGACGACATATTTCGTCATCTTACAATAATTTACCGGATAACGTAGAAAATTCTAACAACGATGACACTGAAAGACGCGTGGTCGATGTTGAGGATCTCGTTTCGCCTACTTCTCATACTCCAACGTAAGTGAATTGCATAACGAAAAACATTACTACATTGCTGAAAAATTAATTAATTATTTTAGTATCGGTTGCGAATATCCTGACGGCTGTCAGAATGGAGTCTGCAGAGGTAATTATAACGAAATCGACGAGTGCGACATGTATTTAGATTCCGAGTACGAAAGAAATGCAACAAACGATCCGCAAACACTTCGACATCTCGTATTTCTCATTTTACTCTTGTGTTCCATGCTTATTGTGAGTAAACAACGGAATTTGACAATCGCAGTTACGAATCGAAATTTATTGCAAAGCTGCAGGTCAATTAATATTATACAACACTTTGCGACAGGCCTTATCTATAACGGTTGGAACGCTAATTACGGAACAAGTAACCGGAGTTTATGCGGAACTGGCGTTTTTTGATATTGCTCTAAACTTTGGCCAGTCGTTAATTGCGTTTGCTATCTTTGGATTAGATCCTGGCCTCGGGAAATTAGGATGCTGGTTGCGAAAAATGTGTCGTAAATGGCGCACTGGTAAGATCATTATTCCTATATTTATTTTCAAGGTTTCTGATTATTTTATATCTCAAATACGCGAGATACATTTAACGTTCGCAGGGAAAGAATTGCAGCTTCCCCCCGAGGATGAGCTAAGCATAGAAACAAGAGCCATTCGAGAGCAATTTAATCGTTGCCATCTAGCTGAATGTCGTGATCGCATTGCAATATGTCGTAGACGCTTGCTAACGGTATACAAAGGTGTCTTCACGGGAACTGATCTAGTTAATTGGTTACTCGATGCTGGTGTTGCACAAACTAGAGATGAGGCCGTTTTATACGGCCGTTGTTTATTAGAAAGCAGGGTATTGCAGCACATCGATGGTACTCGGCATTTCTGCGATGAGAATTTGCTTTACACTTTCAATGCCTAACTGAGATATCTCGAATAAGTCCCGATAATTTAGATTCATTTTTATAGATTTTTTGATCCAGTTTTACAAATTATTTTTTTAGAATGTTGTAACATACGGTACGAAATTATTTATTTTTTTAACGTATCAAATTATTTTATCGTAAAATTGAACATATTTTGATGGATGTGTATATTATATTTTATTCTGGCAACTTTAGTCATAGAGTCGATAAATAATTCCTCGAGTCCCTAGGGAATCTCTTCGGTGTTTGTGAACTGTGCTGCTGTCATTTGTGATCGTAATTGACGCATATTTTATTATATAATCAGATATCTAAAAAAAAGAATAAGACAGTAATAATATAATTAATACAAATATGCCAAAGACAAACATGTTAGCATTTAACATTCTATTTTTAAATATTAGTATCCGTGCACAGTATTGAAAATTTTATCGAGTAATATTCTGGAATATTTGTATTTTGTAGTTTTGTTTTTAGAATTTATTTAATCTTGAATTAACAAAAAAGGTAATTTAAACTTATCGTAATGTTAAGGTACGATTCATTAACAAATGAATGCGTCACGCATTCTTTAAAGAAAGATTTTATTCTGTGATTTTATTACAGTAAAGAAATAATATATATTGTTCCTACATGACCTGTGAGAAATTGTATGAAATGCAAGATAAATGTAAAATAAATAACTGTTGAAAATATTAATATCGTCGATACATCGTATATATACAGTGACTTCTTTAAGGATTATAAATATATTAACGAATTAAATACATAAATCATCGTCTGGATCTTCTTCGTCGATATCGTCTATATCCTCTGGTTGATAATGTATTTTGGATGCATTTGTTGCATTTGCATTAAGAGTATATGGTAACACTGTTTCTTTTCTTTGTTTCATTTCATTTTCGTTTATTTCTATCCTGAACGAAGACTCGATTGTTTGTTTATGACTTTCAAATGAGGAATCTGGTTTTTTACTGTGCATTTCGATCTTTTCCGACTGAATTTCATAAGATACATTATTTTGATTTACCGCCTCCCGTTGTCGTAAAATCGTACCACCTAATTTACGATGTACAAACTCTACCATGTAATTAAAACTGTTATTCGTTCGTGAACCAGGAAACTTTTCTATTCTTACATATGTGGTGCCTAATGTTTGAATACATGGTATTTTACTTTGCACAAAATTTCGTCTATAAACGCAGATTAACTGTGGTACTTGTTTACTTAATTTCTCTAAGAACCATAAAGCTTTCGACAGACCAACAAATAAAATTAAAGACGTTAAACAGTCTATAATTACTGTAGACTTTACTTTTGTAATTTTTAAAATATGTTCCAGAATATCAAAGTCCTTTTCGCGAATGGTATTTATGTCGATTGCGTGTATATCGACTGTATAATAGTCGCATATATTTATGTTACTTGACATGAAAGGTTCGGGTTCATGTTGGAACGAAGACTTTGGATCAGAAAATAATAATAAGTCGAACGTGTGACTGCGATCTTTATCTTTCCACATTTGTATCCATCCTGCGATTAATTTTCTCGCAAACATTGCATCTACTCCTGAAATATATACATTTATAAACAGGTGTCTTTACTAATTTTTAGGCAAAAAATTTACATGGGAAGTTTGGCCATTAAAAAACTCAAAGCAATTTGAAATTGACGAAGTTCAATTAATGTAGTTCAATTAATGCTAACTAATGTTGTAACATTATTGTTGTTTTTATTTTGATGACGAGCTGTAATATTTTCGAGTTAATTCTCGAATTATTGAACTTCCCTTGTTAGTCAGGTCTGACACGCGAGTCTGTCTCTTTCTTTAAATAAAATAATATCGCACCTTCGTCGATGACAATTAATTTCGCGCCTTCCAACAAAGGCAACGTTTTGACGGACGTCATCGCGTTAATCGTAACCAATTGTTACGAACGTAATCAACTATCGAATCAACAATAACCACGCAGTTGATGCTTGATTCACGGACGTCTTGGTCGTCTCGAAGGTTCGTCGTGCGACACACTTCAAGATCGTTTTCGAGCACGATACATTTCAAAAAGTGCCTACGATTTCGCTAAATTAAAAAACAACGTTCACTCGACACGTTGAAACATTCGTCTACAAAATTCGAGAATAAATTTTCCAAATCATTCTAACCCGTTTCTGGTAGTTCATATTGCGTATGTAGCAGTGGTGCCAGATAGAGATAATTCGCATTTTTTGAGCATGTGCGTCGAAAATGACACCAGTGAAGTACCTTGATCGAGTGAAGATTGGTGTCGTAAGGTACCCCGCCTGTTTACGAAATAGTTTTTTGGTAAATGAGTAAAGGAGAAAGATTGATGTAAATATTAAACGAGAATTAGTCAAAATAATAATTTTATGGAGAGTACCAACATTTTGTTCGTTAAGGAAATTTTAAATATCTAGAAAATCTACGCAAATCGTAGGGCATGAACTACATCGTGACACAAGAAAACGTGCGCGTCGTTAGGTATGTTGACAGCCATCAGGGACGTGTGCGTCTCATTTTTCCGTTAAGCTTGACGTAGTTTCGCGTGTAGTCGACAGGTGGCATTTCGTTCGGTCCGAAAAGGGTGCGGTGCACGGTGATCGCCATACTGGGCGAACGTGACCGAAGACAGAGCGAAAATGAATACCAAAGTGTGTGTCACATCGAACCTATTTCGCTCATAACAGTGGTTTTTATTTTGACAGTGTAACCAACGAGTAACTCGCGCGATGTCCGGTACACCGGCCAAGCCCTGAGGGAAACCGAAAAGCGTGGATCCGTGCGCGTGACCGCGTAAGATCAGAAATATCGCAGCTCGGGTTTCTCGCGACTCGGGTTGTCGCTGCATGTGTCACTGTGAGTGCTGCTGCTGCTGGTTGCCAGATCGCACTCGACTCCTACGTCGGCTGGTTGTTACTGTTCGTCGTTGACGAAGTTTGCGTGCGTCTATTCGTCGACGGAATATGCAATATTGAGGAAAGAACTCCATCGAAGAATTACCACCAATGAGTTTGGCCGCGTTACGCTCTGTTCGGTGCTACTCCTTCAACTAATCGCGTGTGTGATGCCCGGGAGTCGCTCCAGCACGGACCCAGAGCACAAGTCACCGCGGGAAAGTGGTGAAGATTCCGAGGATGAGAGTGAAATCCTGGAGGAGAGCCCCTGCGGGCGGTGGCTCAAACGCCGGGAAGAGGTACACATGTTTCTTCTTTTTACTTTGTTTTTTTTTTTTTTTTTTTTTTTTTAACGCGCTTACGATGTTTGTTTATATCTCTCATCTGTCTACTCGTTTCAACTCCATACGTCACGGTTTGTACAGCTCCTGAGTTGGTAGACGTATACGTACTCTGTATACGTTGCAACCACTGTCGGGTTGCTCTTGCAAAAGGGACAATGATGCAGATATTTTTTCTCTCTGCGACAAATACTTTGGTAGACATCTGAATGCGTGTGTTTACAGTCTGTCCCGCAGAGAATAAAGGCTTAAATGTTGGTGTCAGGATGAATATGGTTTTTTATAATCACCATTTTTATGTTTGAGAAAATGGAATTTTATTGTAACATTCATTGGTATCGAAAGTTGGAGGAAGAAATCTGAGATAGCATTCGTCCTAATTTGGTTTCAATTATTTAAAATGGATAAATACAATGACAAGATCTATTTCTTTTCATTAACATATTTAACTGTTAAATCAAACTTTCATGTAAACATTAAGCTCTTTTGAATATGCAGTATCTGTAGATTGATCTCCAACAACTTCTTGGCACTAAGCTTCAACCAGCGGCGATCTCTTTCATATTTCATCCTAAAAATAAATTGGCATAGTTGGATCATCGGGTACTTACATTAACACAAGACTGTTTTGTTCTAACCTGTCCCTTGTAGTTGCAAAACGTATAATATCGTTAGAAATACAAGGTGGACTAATGTTTAGTCTACAATGCTTGATGTAAATTTTTATTTATTAAATACTCGTTTATTTTAGAGTTAGAGCATTAACATTTGTGTTGTGAACAATGTGCAAGACTAGTAGCACCAAAGTTAAAGTAAAAAGAAAAAAAAAAACGTTTGTGTACTTGTTGTTCAATAACTATTATTTTATGTTAGGTATATGTAGGTTCCAAGTCCACGTTAGCCGAAGGCTCTACCTTTGGAGCAGCCAGAGGCAGTGAAAACGAAGTCACTGAAATGGAGGTATGTCTATTTAAAGAAAAATAGGCTATCTCTTCTATTTTGTGCATCTTGTTCCATGTTAAAACGTTTAATCGGAAGATATATAAATTTAGAGGGGTATATTGTATTTGTCATTTGAGCGTAGTACACTGCCACAAGTACATGTAATGATAATACCTACTCCGAATTATTTCCCCTCCTTAAATTCCTTTCAAGGTCACATTGATGTAATGGCAAATAGGCATGAAATTGTTTGAGTTGTGCTTCGAGTAACTTTAAAATGGAATGATTGCAGTAATATATTCTGTTATGCCATAAATAGATTTCTAAAATGTATTAATAGATTGTTCTGTATAGCTTTTGTACATTGTAAATAAACGTTAATGTATATATTATGCTTGTAAATTATAGTTACAAACAAACTAACTATTTGAGTCTTTTGTTGGCGATGTGAATTATTTAAATGATTTGTTACCTATGTGCTAACAGAGTAAAACATTTTTACATATGATATTTGCCGTTTAGGTGGAACAACGCGATGTACCAGGAATCGATTGCGCCTACTTGGCGATGGATACAGAAGAAGGAGTTGAAGTTGTTTGGAATGAGGTGCAATTTTCAGAAAGGAAAAACTTCAAAGCGCAAGAAGAAAAAATACAACTTGTATTTGAAAATCTTACACAATTAGAACACCCCAATATTGTAAAATTTCATAGGTATTGGACCGATACTCACAATGATAAACCTCGAGTGAGTCATCAAACAGATTATGCTTTCAGTTTTAGACTCTCTCTCTCTCTCTCTCTCTCTCTCTCTCTCTCTCTCTCTCTCTCTCTCTCTCTCTCTCGAATATTACTTATGTTACTTATAATGGTTTTTATATCTTTCATCAGGTTATATTTATAACTGAGTACATGTCCTCTGGGTCATTGAAACAGTTCCTAAAACGAACAAAGCGTAATGTGAAAAAATTACCTTTGCAAGCATGGAAACGTTGGTGTACCCAAATATTATCCGCACTAAGGTAAGATGGTTTTTAGTATTAATTGAATTATAGTGGTTTCATACCTTCAAATTATACGATGTGTGCATTAACGTATTTAAATATATTTCAGTTATTTGCATTCCTGTTCACCTCCTATTATTCATGGAAATCTCACTTGTGACACTATATTTATACAACATAATGGACTTGTAAAAATTGGCTCGGGTAAGTACTTTTGTGACAAAACATAAACTAATTTTCATTCTGCGGAGGATATTCGATATCTAACAGAGTACAATCTTTATGTACGTGTACTTTATATACTAAAACGCTCTGTTAATAAGTATCGATAGATAGCTGTTCATAGGTATCAAAGAGAGCAATTTATCCCTAAATGATATTATTTAGCATACATTAGAATAGGAGTTTGCAAGGCGCTTCCCTTTTTTTTATTCACAGGACTATGAGAGGCTAATAGTTTTGTTTCTCATAATTTTCACGGAAGAAAAGTAAAAAAAATAATCACAATATAGGATTATTAATCAACCAACCAGTGAAGTTGAAATAACAACTGTGACCTAACTGATATTTATTTTGTTCTTACACGGGGTATAAGCAAAGTACGTATATTGCTATTACTGTGATTGCCTCTTCGGCCCTTGTTACGATAAGCCAATCAACAGTAATAAATAACTTTTATACAATTACAAAATTAATCTCTGTCTGGCAGATAATGTAACGTGTATTGTATAATATCAAACTCGATGGATAAGCAATACTTTGATAAGAATGCTCTATTATCAAAGATTATGATGCGTGAAAGAAGGTGTGATTCGGTTATATAATATCTTACAAAGAAAGTTTTATTCCATCCTATAGCGTATTTTTTTCTATGCGAGATAATGTTAATCGTGTCTTACAATGAAATCGATGAGATGATAAACGAATACCATTTCTACTGGATATCCCTGATAGCTCTACTGGAAATTCAGTGTGCTCGTAGAACTTCCTGTTAATTGAATCAATTGGTTCATTACTGTTCATACGATCATTATTACTGCGATTACATTTGCTCTACAGTTTTCTTTCATACGTGTCCATTAGTAACACAAATCTGTTAGAAAGATTGTGTGTAAACTGCTTCTACATATTAGGAGTAACTTGAGTCCTCGTTTTTAATTGTAGCAGATAGGCTAATCTAGATAATGAAAAAAACACAGCAAAGTCTTCGAAGAGAGGGGAAGTACAATCGTACTTTCGTCTATCCAGAGGATAAATCAAGCGACATCGACGTTCTTCGGGTTGGTGTAAATTGTGAAAAGATGATGAATTTGAGGAATATACATTTGGCAGATAATCGACGACTATTGCCAACTAAGTAATTTAGTCGTAATGAGGTAAACACTCCCATTTATGTATGTATATGTACATATATATATCTACCCACATCTTACTTATCGGTAATAATATCGCTTAATAATCGGTTTAATACCATTGGTGCCATTACATTGCACTATCCATTCCTCGAAATTAATGGATTACAATTTCTAGAGAAAGGGCTAAGCGTCTACATGTCTCTTGGCCCTTTTAACGCATTTTCGTCGTATTATAATCTTTGTTTTTGTACCCTTGATTTCCAATAAAAAGAACTCCTTGAATTGCGTTCTCCTCGCTAAAAATTTCACTATGCTCCATGAAAGTGCCTCTTTGAAATGTGAACACGGTCCAGCATAAATATGTAAGTTATCTTAGTAAAACAATTATTTGTATTTCGTGTAATATATTTTTTTAAAATTGTTTTATCCCTGTCCAGAGGCACTTTCGTATCTATATATGTATGTGTAAAAATAATTAACCGTACGAGGGCTCAAGTTACTCTTAGGATAAATTTTCAGTTACAACGCAATTTTTCTAGAGGTTTATTAATTTACTTATTACGGCAGAGGTGGCGGGTATTCGAACGGAAGGACATTGAATCGCTGGTAACCATTTTTTTCTTACATTTCTCTATTAGGTAGTATAATGTACAATTCACAGAATTCCTGCTACCTCGTACAGAAAGTTTTATAACGCATTGCTTGTCGAATACTTTCATATATCACTTTTGTGTACGCATACACGTGGAGCAACAGCTCGTAAACGTAATAATGTTCGTTTCTTTCCTAATTACAGTGGCTCCCGATGCAATTCACCATCATGTTAAAACTTGTAGAGCGAACATGAAGAATATGCACTTTGTAGCACCCGAATACGGAAGTAAGCGAATCGTTATAAAGTGTCAGTTTATTTTGACGTATGAAATTGTTATATTGCTTTGCATGAAAGTGTTCGAAATTAAAACGTCAGTTGTACTCTATTTATTAAAAAGGAATAATTAGTATTCCTCGTTTAACTTTATCGTAATTTACCGAGATATACTTGTCTCTCTTTTTTTTTTTTTTTTAGATTCTGTAACCCCAGCCATTGATATTTATTCGTTCGGAATGTGCGCTCTGGAAATGGCAGCGCTAGAAATTCAAGGAAACGGGGATAGCGGCACGATCGTGACCGAAGAGAACGTTAAAAAGACGATAGAGTCTTTGGACGATGTCCAACAAAAAGATTTTATTCGGAAATGTCTTCACGTAGATCCACTTAGTAGACCTAGCGCAAGGGAGCTCCTTTTTCATCCTGTTTTATTCGAAGTTCATTCGTTGAAGCTGCTCGCAGCTCATGCATTGGTTAATTCAGCCAGTAAGTTAAACAATACTTCTCTTATCTTATCTTCTTTCGCTATTTCGCGACACAATGTATTCCATTTGCCAGATACGGCAGTTCTATACTTTTTTTCAACAATACTAGATAACTTGGCGATTGTCACGGTAATAATAACGGGTTAAGAAAAGGTCCTTCGTAAGTGTACTAATAATTTCTTTGCTTTCGCAGCGAATATTTCAGAAACAATAACGGACGAGGTATTGCAAAGGCTATACGGGCCTGACACGGTGGTAGCCGAAATAAAGTATCAAGGTCGACCGACGCAACAGATTCGTTTAAGCGAGATCCCTGTTACAGAGAAGTTAGAAAAGTTTGTCGAGGATGTAAAGTGAGTAGAAACAAACGATAATGATCCTGGTTCGTTAATGATACCGATAATATTTTCTGTCGACAGATACGGTATATACCCCCTGACAGCATTTATGGCGAAACTACCACCACCTGCTCGACCCAGGGCGATATCGCCCGAGGTGACCGAGTCGGTGAAGTCGGTCACGCCCGAGCCGGTGGACGTGGAGTCTCGAAGAGTAGTTAATATGATGTGTAACGTAAAGCCTAGAGAAGAAAGTTGTGAATTACTTGTGAGTGATGCAGAGCACATGCTAAAAAAGTTTAACCGTAAGAACACCATCGAAATCGTTCTCGTCTCCTTACGTTTGATATATATTTTATAGATGACAATATTGTTACGAATGGACGATAAAATGAACAGGCAATTGACGTGTCCTGTGAGCCAAATAGACACTTCAATGCTTCTCGCGCAGGAACTTGTACATTTTGGGTTCATTAACGAGGTAATTATTCTCATTGATTATATCCGTTAGAAATCGGTGCACGATACATAAACGCGTGCTGCCTTTGTTCACGAGCAACATTTTTAAGGGAGCTACAATTTTTTGTAGAACGATCGTGATAAGATAGGAAATTTAATCGAAGAGGCATTAAGGAGTTGCTTTAACAAGCAATTGGTGACACCAGGAATGGTATCATTAACTAATCTTCCCACCCAAACTACTTTATTGCTGCCTGGTCCAGAATTTCCATGCTTGCAACACTTTGATAATTCTATGTATAACGCGACAACATCCAATAGTGATAGTGTAACTAACCCGCTGCCAAAAACCTCAGGTCTACCCGTGTCGAGTAACACGAGCAAAAGTCACGACGAAGCTGAACCACCGACGAATACTGAAAGCGGTAGTTAACCATCCAGGATATCTGGTAACTCAGTTCACTGTGCCACTTTGCACGCTCTATGTATAGACTGGCTATGTATTTTTATATTTAAGTAAACAGGAAGGAAGAATGGAATTAAATAATTTAAAAAACAAAAAAAAAATGAAATAAGAAGGGCGCCGTGGCTAAACCACTAGGTTAAACGCTGACGCAGTATAATCGAATATTGATTTTTTTTTTTATCGAGATCATAATATTTTGTTTACAAACCGTTTGACGTATCGACGTCAAATTCCATGTATTCGATGATCAACTGTTAATTATTATTATTATTATTATTATTATATTATTATTATATTATTATTATTATTAAATCGTAAGGTAGTTTCAGAAGCTAGGGTTTACATTAGGTAATTTTAACTCGAAAGTAAAGGACGTGCTCTACGATTTTAGTTGACCTGTACAACCTAACGAGAATGTCGATTACCAATACGCAAGAAGCATGGAAACTAAGTCTAGTTATTACGAATCACGTTTGATCGTTGCCACCCGTTATTAAGCTGAGATAAAAAAAAGGGCATTTTACTAGTGAATGTTTAAGTTTTCGCGAAATCTTGGATAAATTATTTGAAGCAATAATCGAAATAAATTACCTTCTGTCGCAAAGTGACGAAATGTATCATAGAAATTTATTTTGTATATACAAATTGACAGATTAAATGAAAGATCAAGAAGAGGAAGGAACGATTTAATTTTTAAGGTACAGAATTAGTTTGATCGTACAGCAATGTAAAAACAAATGAATACGAGAAAGACAGACTATATAAAAACCCGCACTTATTTCTGCTTGAATACTCAATATGTTGTAATTCATTCTGAATCATTATTCGAATTACCGTATGTTTTTTGTTCACGTGATTGAAATAAAAGAAGAGACCAGGTTTCGTTTCTTTTGTTTTATAAAGTAGTGATCAGTTGCAGCCACGGCCCTCCTATACTTCGGTATTATTGATGTGATTAAACCAAGATTAAATCTCGATAAAATTAGCTGAAATCCTTGTAAATAATTTATATTTTTAAGAAAATCTGTTGACACAGAAAACTAGTCATATAGGTATATTCGAGTGCTAACAAACTAACACCGACCTTATTATGTCTTTTGCATTTATAACACGTGCTTGGCCAAGAAATACTGCTCCAATTTCATACCTCGGTAAAATAAATTTCAGTGACGCATTTCACTAAGCAAACGACTAACCATACTAGCGGTAAAAACTATTACCAACAACATAAACTTCGATCTTAAGTATGTAAGTAGATTATCAAACTAAATTGAATGTATAGCTTTATAATTCAAATTATAAATCGTGAAAAAAAAGTGCGACGACTGAATCGTGGATATTATGAAAGGGCTGTACGATGACAGTGATAAATAAATACTATAACTCGGAAATTCCACTGCCTGAAATTTGTTTTTGTTCATTGAAACTATTGCTCCTGTCTTCCTGATCGGTTTCGATTTCTGCTCCTGCGCGCTTCGTGTCAACTTGTATGGAAGTAGGGTGTAATACGAGTCTAAACGAAAAAAAAAAACGGCGTATTCTATAAAAAATTTATTTGTGTGACTTTATAGCAGAAGGAGAAATACGTGGTGTCCTCGATACAAAACACTTTTACGGATGGAGCGTAATGAAAAACGTCCTTACAAAGGGTCTTCTTATAATCGATGTTTTAGAACAATTGATGTGATCGACGAGAGAGTGTATACGTGTTTGTAAACAAAGAGAAATTGTACATCATTCAAGTTGTATAGCTTAACACACCGCAAGCGTAATGTAACACTCTTACGATGCTAGGTCTTCGTTACGTGATAAAATATAACGTTGAACATTATAAACGATGACGATAATAATAACATTTTTTAAAAAGTACTGTCGTTTGTTTATTTCTTCTAATGCACGCGACGATACGAATACCCTGTGTTTACACAGAGAACTCTGGAGGTAGTCTGCTACTTTCGACTAAATATTGCAGGTGGTCAAATAATTTGTGTACACAAGAAGGAATAGTAACATCGAAGAAAAAGTTATTATACACATAATTTTTTATATGTAGTACGACGATGTATATTTTCTGCGTATTTACTAAAAATTAGCTAGATTTATTCCCTTGTAGAAGATATCTGAGTGGAAAGGGTTAAATAAAGAAATCTTACAGAACCGTTAACAGAAGTCAAAACTTACCAGACTACCCCTTTTGGAAATCAATCATCAAAATACAATCATTCGCAACATTAACGGTGCGCACACACGGAATAACAGTGATAGGAAAGATAAAAATAATAAAAGATTTTTCTACTCTTTTTACTTAAGAAATGTAATATCTACGGTAATATCTAGAACATGTCAATTAGTGGAAAAAAAAATTCAATTAAATAAGAAGCATAGGAAAATCTTGTACTACTGTTTTTATCTTTCATATCCCCTTTACTTGTATCGTACGTGCGTCGATGATTTTGCGACTTACTGTATTTCGTACTCGTTCCAAGGATCACGTTACTCAATCGAATCATCGTACGCTACAAACGGTACATTCGGTGGTACTCAAGTACCGTCCATAGAGTGCTTCCGGTTCAGCAAATAGTCAAGGTCGTGAGAGATACGATCGAGCATGCCACTCGTGGTAGCCTCGCAATTCGTAATGATGATCTCGGGCGCTTTCTCCTCTCCATCTGGTTGCTTCCGTTCGGTGGTGTTGGCTATGTCGGGGATGACGTTCACGTGTTCTCTTATCAGTTCCGTCGTGGACAACAGCTCGACGTCGCTCTTCACGGCCAAGGTCACATCCGGCATTCCAGTCAAGCGCGACTCCACGTCCGCGCTGCACAAAACCTTCGCCGCGGTTTCAACCGTGGGATTGTGTGGCACGAAGACCTGCGGTCCTTGCGGCTCCCGATATTTGCCAAACTCGCGAAAAGTGCAGCACTCGGGGCTACTGTAAGATTCGGTCGGGCAGTGGGATGCTCGCGTTGGGAACACGGCATCGAACGGGATGGCGTCTTGGTACTTTCGCGGGCTGGTGCTATAATTTTCGAGGTTTATATCGTCGGAGTGATCGACGCGTATCTCTGGCAAGAATCTGCCGACGACTGGGACGGAGGGCTTCGAATACGAGGACGACGACTCGTTGACGAATTCGCGCATGTCTATACTACCGGCTGCGATTCCTCGAGCTTCCAGATAAGGGTCCCCGATGCTCAGCGAGGACGGAGGAGGTGCAGCGTCGTTCTCCACTTCTGCGCCGTTCTTCGAGCACACTGGGCATATAGCGAGATAAATTGTCTTTTCGTTCCAACTATTTCTTTCAAATTTTCACGACCTGAATGTTTGCAATCGGGTGCGCTCGAGTATTCCGAACGTAAGTCGTATTCTTTTCGAAGCGTGTCGACATGTTTGCTAAAAGCTTTATTCGAACACTAACAGCCTTTATTCAAAAACTAACTGGAGTTTCAAAAGGGCACTGGCTATACCCAGAAGTCTCGAGTGACATCGATTGTAAAGATTCAGTTGTGATTCGCAACGTACTATTCGACTTTGTAGCTTTCCTTTATGAGATACCTTTGATTGGTTCGGACGTTATCTCTTCTTCCGTGTCGTGTTTCCACTTCAGTTTCCTTAGGATCAGATCTAGGATTGCCAAGTCGCTGTTCACAATGTAGACCATTATTATAACGAATCCCTGTATTTACAAAGACCATCGATAAAGATGTAGAATTATCGTTCATTGGCGGTAGCAATAGGTGCATGCTTACCAAGACAGAGGAGAGAGAAGCAAACACATAGTGAAAGATAATAGAGGTGGAGTTTATGTAGAAGATGGAGGAAGCTTCCATCGCGACGACGCCGCATATGACAATGGCAGCACGATGTAACATTCGTAGTCTGAACAGAAGAAAGCTCCTTATTTATTACATTATACAGGGTGTCCGAAAAATGTTGTAACACCTTGGAATGGGTGGTTCGGGAGGTGATTTGACACAACTTTTTCCTTTACAAAAATGTCGGATGGGGCTTTGTTAAGGAGATATTAAGAGAAAACTCCGACCAATCAGAGCGCGCGTATACCGTTGGAGCGACCGCGGTAGCGAAGGCTTCATGCTAAGCTGCTGCGTCAATGTCCTTCGATGCACGTCGAGTCACTTGTTCGCGTACGAGCGTGGCCGCTTACCGGTGTAGCCTTCGCTACCACCACCCGCTCCAACGGTATCCGTGCGCTCTGATTGGTCCGGGTTTTCTGTTAATATCTCCTCAACGAAGCCTCGGACAATATTTTCGCTACGGAAAAAGTTGTTTCAAATCACCTCCCGAACCACCCATTTTAAGGTGTTACAACATTTTTTGGACACCCTGTATAAGTAGAAACAAATATTTGACCGACGCATACACTTAGGAGGCTACGAAATATGAGCCTGTCTTCGACGTGAGCTGTACCTTGCGTCTATCACCTCTTTTTTCATAACGTTCTCTTCGACTAGAGCGTGAGCTTTGTGTAGAATTCCAAAGTACAGCAACGCGAATACAAGAAACATCATGGTAGCGCAAGTCACGAATATGTTATAGACTCCACTTCCGAGAATCAGCCACCATGATTCGTGTCTCCACCCGGTGCTCTTGTGGGTGAGTTCCGTGGTAAGTACGGCCAAGATAGGGACTCCTAAACGAGACGAAAATATGTTTAACGAAAAACTTTACTCTTCTTTCAAAACATACAGGGTGTTAATAAAAATTTGGGATATTTTTTCAGGATCAAGTCTTTATACCAGTACGAGTCGAAAAGTCCTTTACAATTTTGCAATCTGAGGCTTTGTTGTTGAGATATAAGCGGTTGAAATTTACAGTCGCGATCGCACATGGACGGCACTCACACGCGAGAAAGACGCACCGACGCACACTCACAGTCAACTGCGAATCAGCTGGTCGGCGGAATGACGCTAGTGAGTGTATATCGGTGCGTCTTTCTCGTGTGTGAGTGCCGTCCATGTGCGACCGCGTCGGAAGTTACAACTGTAAATTTTAATCACTTATATCTCAACAACGAAACCTCGGATTGCAAAATGGTAAAGAACTTTTCGATTCGTACAGGTATGTAGACTTGATCCTGAAAAAATGTCTCACATATTTGTTAACATCCTGTATAAATCAGAGACTACGCGAGTAATCTCTACATAGTATAAAATAAAGTCCCTGGTAGGCGTCTGTTTTTGTTCGGACTAATCTCCGGGACCACTTGATGAATTTTGATGCGGTTTTCTCTCTTTTATAGAGTTTATCTTGAGAAAGGGACCCGACCAGCGCTCATTTTAGCGAAGTAATCGACGAAAAAACAGCTGTGCGAATAAAAAGAAATTCAAATTTGCCGCGGGAAATAGGTGTCGCCGCCTAGCGGTGAACAACCGAACTAATTTCGGAGTATGGTCAGCGCCTCTATCGGGAGAACGCTCAAGTTTGTCCTCGAATAGTTCCCCTGTCAATGGTAGATGGAGCCATTTGTTTTTTTTTAATTAAAAAATTAAGAGTACAGGGTTAAAAAATGATTCTCATTCATATTTTCATATTGCAATGATCGTCCACCTATTTGTTTTTAAATATATAAAAAAAAAAACTACAAATACCTCTGTCGCCCTTTACCGGGGGAATGCCCAAGTTTGTCACCGATTAGTTTTGATTGTTCACTGCTAGATGGCAATGCAGGTATTCCTCAGTTTTCTTTTATATATCCAAAAACAAATAGGTGAACAATTATTGTAATATTAAAATATGAATGAGGATCATTTTTTAACTCTGTACTCTTAATTTTTTAATAAAAAAAAAAAACATGGCTTTATCTACCATTGACAGGGAAACTATTCGAGGACAAACTTGAGCGTTCTCCCGATAGAGGCGCTGACCATACTCCGAAATTAGTTCGGTTGTTCACCGCTAGGCGGCGACACCTATTTCCCGCGGCAAATTTGAATTTCTTTTTATTCGCACAGCTGTCTTTTCGTCAATTACTTCGCTAAAATTGATGCTGGTCGGATCCCTTTCTCAAGATAAGCTCTATAAAAGAGTGAAAACCGTATCAAAATCCATCAAGTGATCCCGGAAATTAATCCGAACAAAAACATATTATTTGTATTTTCATCCGATTGAATGGAAGAAAATTGGAAAAGTAGTCAACAGTCCTGATACACACCGGTAACGACTGCAATGACAGTAGGCTGGAAGTTCGGTCGGACTTGTGTTAGGCCAGCGTAGATAATCAATGCTTCCGATATCGGCGCGGACAAACCAACGAGGAGGAACGCCTCCAAGGCTACCGCCACGATCGCGTACGAACTCTGAAACGGAACGATCGTTGCAACGTTTCAGTAAACTTTTACACAGCGTTTCAATTACCTCGGGGAGATTGCTGTGCACGGCGTAGATGAAGACAGCCATTGCCCCTACCATAGCAGCGCAACATTGAAGCTTCAGGAAGTTCAGCCAGCTTCGATTCTTCCACCAGAAGGTTCCAAGGACCAAAGAGGACAGCAGGCACTGCATCAAGCAGCTACCGCATCCAAATACGACGATGAACGTAGTTTGTTCTTTTTTTGCCAGTATTACCTGAAGAACGTATAGTAGAACGAGTATGATAAATGTGAATATGATAAATGTGACATTACACGCTTGCGTATCCGATTTGCGGTCTTAGCCTAAATATTTTGCCCGAGCTTACTCTGAGTGCGCGGGCCGTTAGGAAAACAGCGAAGGTCCCAGTATTGGGGCACAAACAATGAGTCGCGGCGTCCCCTGGTAATATATTGGTGATACAGCTGTTCAAGTCCCAAGCGCCTGCGTTGCCCATGAAGCCACAGGACACCTTCCAGGAGCTGGATTGATTCTGCACGTGTTTCACGTGCAGGTCTACCCATATTTTATTGTGTTTGTCGAGATTGAAGGCAGGCACTGCTACCGTGATGACGCGTGAATTGATGCGGAACTCGAGGTCCGTGCCATCGCTATAAAACCAAAGCAGTTGCGTCAGAGAACTGGGACAGAAGCGACGAGTGTTCGGGTATTCGCATCACTCACTCGAGTTCCTTGACACAGGCTCTTGGAAAAAAGCTGGAGACGTTCTTGTAGACGATCACGATCCCGTTGAGGGTGCTGTTCGACTTCCCTCCGTGGTGTCGTTTCTTCCACAATCGTATGGTCACTTTATCCTCGTACCAGCTTGGATACCTACGAACCAGCGTTGGTCAAAATGTAATCCGTTATTATAACTGTCGAGTCTCTTATCGCGATAATTACATGGAATCTTCTACAGGTATTTGAAGGGAATGCGTGATGCTGTCGCCGTTATGCTGTTGCAGTTCCTGGACGTCCACTACCAGCGAAGACAAAGACAGATGCTTGTAAGGCTGTGTCGTTATCTTCGACCAGTGCGTTAAGCTCCGTTGCGTAATTTGAAGTAGCACCACCAACACCTGGAGAATATAAATAGATGATTCATTCTTGTCTGAGAATTTATCGGGGCTTTGCCGGTCTTACCTGTTGACTCAATATCGACTTTTCGTCGGTCAGTATTCGATTGATAATGCGTATCAGAGGCTCCATCGAAGCGTGCAGGTCGGGTATGTCGACTTTTTGCTGATAACGTTCGATCATCGCCAATATATTTAGAATGTGATCACCTTCGCCAGGATAAAGAGGAAGCCCGCGTGATCGTAGGATCTCCCAAAAAGAAAAGATCGTCTGAGAGCCGGTTGTGTTCTGATAGCCCAGTGTCAAGCTTTTAAACTGAAATAGGAGAAACAGACGTGGTAAATAATAATTAAACGAGTCTAGACGAGTCTAGACGTTCAATGGTCTTCGATAAACACCTTATTGTAAGGCGAAGTCAGAGGCTCGTAAAAGCACGAAGAGAAGTCAGGTGTCTGCCATTCCGGGGTAGTCGCGTCTTTCATCGAGCACAGCCTGGATACCTTGTTGCCTACGAAGTATTTAGGACACTCCAACAAAGCCTCGGACCCGGGCGCAGTGTCTGGCCAATACAAACCCCACGATTCGCCTTTAACGCAAATCGGTATCATGTTTCGATTCACGATTTCCACGCGCACGGACATGGAGTTGTACGCCACGTTGCACGTGTAGATCGCGGATTTCTGGAATCACAGACGACAATGACGGACGGACTTGACGGTCATTCAACGTCAAGTAGTTTGCTTCTCGATCAGGGATTCTGACGAGATTCAGTTACGTTATACAGAAATATAAATATACATATTATAATCTCATATCTATATATACATAATATACATCTACATATTATAATACATATTATAATATTATAATATGATTCAGTTGCGTTATACAGAAATATAAATACACATATTATAATCTCATATCTATATATACATAGTATACATCTACATATTATAATACATATTATAATATTATAATATGTATATATTATTAGGTTGTCTCAGAAGTTTCTTCCATTTTATTAATAAGTAATACATGCACAATATTTTATGTCCAATGTGACATTATACAATTGCATACAATTCATTTCGCTTCATTACTGTTACAAGGTTAACATCTAAAAAATTAGGTTGTCTATTTATATAAACACTGCCACACAAAATAATTGAGTGCAAGTCACGGAAGAAACTTTTGGGACAACCTAATACAATCTCTTACGATCAACGCGTGATTACCTGCGCGTTTGTAATCTTTAATATACTCCCAGCAGGATAAAGATCCTCCCACACTTCACTGCCAGGTTCCAGCTTCAGCAAAGCTCCGTTCTTCGTCCAGCCAAACCCTATTCCTATATCGGGCATGTTAGGCGTCGTGCAGGTCAACTGTATATCGCCTCCCTAAAAGAAGGAAAAACTTAGAGGAGCGGTTGGTAAAAATATCGCGTATCAAATGTTTACCTTCTCAATGGTAGCGCTCATCGGCATCACTTTCACGTTCGGCTCGTCCCTCACGTCGACGTAAATACTTTTACATTGCTGTACGCCCCAATAGACTACTTGGCAAGTGTATTGACCCGCGTCGAGCAAGGTCGCCCTTTCGATTACCAAAAGAGACATGTATAGATCCGTGGCGGCGTCGTTAGGGAAGTGTCTGTACGAGATCTCTCTAAACGATGGAAATCGTACGCTGATCAGCACCCGGAGTAACTATGACAACTCTACGATGACTCTTTAACTCTTACTCTTTGCTTACCTGATAGATTTGCTTATGTTCACCGGAACGTTGTCCTTGTACCAGGTGAAATTTATGCTGTCGCTTCCATGTATTTGGCAGCCCACCATTAACCGATCGCCTAGATGAACTTTGTTCACGTTCAGGAGGACCAGGTTCTGAAGGAGTGACAAGCGTTAGTGAGGAAACGTGATATAGCAGGGAGAAGATGAATCCTCGATTAAGGAGAAAGAACACGACGAAAGCGTGTACCTGTAATTTGAGTGCTGGTTTCTGTTGAAACGTAAAGTGGGTCGACTCGAGGGAGATCTCGTTTAGTCGTCGATGCTGCACCAGCTTGTTGAGGGACTCCCGAATCTTATCTCCGTCCTCGGAATTCCCCAGGAAGTGGAAAGTGATCTCCGAGCGCGACGGGGACCTATGTAATCGAGCGAGCGAGCGAATAACGACGAGCGTTTTTCTTCCTTTGTTTATGTCGATGTCTTAGAACTCGTATTTTATTCTTCTACGTTAAGCGTAACCGAGGCCATTATCGTTTAATGTACCTACTCACTTCACTTTCAGGATTCCCAAATCCTCCACGGACGAGATGTTAGAATTCTTCAAGTACTTTGCCAGCTGCAACGAGATTAGAATAATTGAGAGGACGGAGGAAAATGTATCGGGACTCGGGACGTTGATGGCAGAGAACAGGGGATATACAATAAAAAAAAAATCGTCTTTTTTAACACGTGTATATATATTTTTATAAAATAATCATCGAGATACAACAATATCAAATATTTCTTTTACATTCAACGATTACAAAACAATTGGTTCTCCGCGCCTTTCAAAGTTCAATGACTGCATTGTAATTGTTTCCCATACGTTTCGTACCTGTACATTACACACACGCGCATAGGTACTTGTAACGACGATACGGTTGGGTTTCTCTTTGAAAGCATTTCGTTCGTGTCGCCTGTTTCCTTAAAAAAAAGTGACGAACCCGATGACTGTACGCGACCTTTTCGCGTAGTTTCTCAATGGTGTGTTTTAGTTTATAAATTATACATCCTTAAACGGTGTTTATCTAAACACATTGCCAACCGATTGGGCCGATCCAACCCTGCGCCACGTCATAAGCGTGTTTACAATCAAAGGAATATAGCACAATTAGTTAAAATTGCCACGCTATTAATCTCCATATCGCAGGAGTTACAGAAGTTTAAATCCATTCACGTTATCGCGTAAAGGTTTCAAAAAGTGTGTGGTCGGCATAATGTTAATACAAATTTAAAAACTCGTTACTTTCAACGCAGACAGTTGATAAGTTAATCGCTCTTATCGATTTACGTATGCATTGTTCTATGGACGGGGTCCATAGACGGGGAATTGTTTAGTTCACGGACGGAACGTACATTAGAAATTCGTTCCATTTATCGGTTACTAAAAAGACAATCGAGTGTAAGTACGTGGAATCCTCGAAGCGAAGCAATTCTTCGATACCAAAAGGTTCTCCATCTATAACCTCAAACGATTATCGAGGTAAGATATATTGGTCGCGACCGAACACCACACGGAAAGCGTTTCTCCGTTATCTCGAGAGAGCTAATCATCGTTCGTTATCGCGTGCGCTCTCTGAACGATCCATTAATTTGCGAACTTGTGACCAGAAAATCGATCGGAAACTTCCTCCCCTCTTCCATTGATCGTTCAACGGTCCTTCGTTTCGTAGAGTCAGAGCCTCATCGAAATAATCGCTCGACTGCACCCAGTCGATAATCTATTCGTTCCTGAAGAAGCCGAAGCGATCGTAATTCACTCTGGCGGATCGAGAAAGTATGGATCGTCGTTGGATATGAGCACGCAGGACAGATCCCCGCTTCCTGGACACAGATGGTCCCGTATCCTCTCTCTGGACACCCTGAACACCTTGATCCCGGTCTCGCGACAGTATGCCTCCAGTAGGATCATCTGCAGATGACTGGCGGAGTCCATTTCGGTATCGAATGGCACGAGGCAGACGGTACCTTGGCTGTTGTCGCATTCCTTGGATTCCAGAGCACGCAACGTCGGCAGCATGCCACAGGTTATCGTACCTCTGGGACACCTGGGTTCCTTCTGTTCGGGCCACGACATCGATCCACTGGAAACCAATCGAAATCAATGATCAAGAATTCTTTTACGACGGTACACGTTTCGCGGGATTTCGATAGGATAGACGGCGAGCAAATATCGGTGAAATTCTTATCTCGATTACGATTAAAAGATAAACGTCGAGTTGTGGTATCGATTCAAGTTTACTACCCACGTTTCGCAGAAAATAGAAACGGTCCGAGCGTTAGTGTCGACGGTTTACCGACTGAGACTGTTTAGACGTACAATTGAATTTAGAGAACATTTCTTATTTCCGTAACGTTACTTTTACGCGGTATTTCTTTTAACTATCAAAATTGTTTTTATGCCAATATTCGTGTAACAATTTACGATTCATATAACGATTGGAGTGTACTATGCTGTATCGGTAATAGATAAGAAATTATTGCATGTCATGGTAAAAAAAGACGATTGATAGTCGGCCGGTGAAGAGTTAAATTTAATTAATAATTTGCGAAAATTTGGAAATAAACATCAACGGTGTTTACGCGTTAGCATCGGTTCATTTTTGTTTGAAAAATATTCTGCCTGTCTCTCGCGAGCGGCCATTAATTTATCGCAATTATCCGATTACTCGAACGAGTGAGAATGTCCCACGAGATACCACGTGCATCGAGAATCGATTCCACGAAAAGCTCTCGACGAAATAGCGGCTCTGTCTTAAACGCGTTGGAATTCCTAGCGAAAGCAAAGTCACGTGTCGCGAAATGGTGAAAACGCGTGCCAAATTGTGACCGTTCTTACCTGTCGGTCATCGTGGCAGAAGCGTAAGACTGATGAAGGCTCTGGCAACGCGTCATCTCCGTAAGTATTTGTTCCTGTTTGTTCTTCGAGCTGCTCCCGGTCGTACCTCTTTTGCACACTTCACTGAACGTGGGAATTTTCTCGGCTCTTATTGCCAGTTTATCACAAATATTAACGTTCACGTTCCGTCGGCGATCCACTGATTCACTGAACGGTTTTGGCTTGTCGCGTGTCGATAGGAGAGTCGCACAGGTTAGTCTCGATCACTATGATGCAAGCTTGCGCAACACCGAGAGATTTTTACAAGTAGGCTTCTATCCGAATGGTATATTGCGCGAACAACAGACGCACCTACCGCGACGGCGTTCGAGCAACGAGTGTGCCTGTCGGGCGGCACGCGACGCTTATATCGGCTCTTCCCCCACCACCGCCTCCCATCCTATATATCCACGGGTATTCCAGATAAACTGTAGCGAGTCTCTGTACACAGAACGGAGCTTTTTATCGACGGCGAAAGCTTTACCGAGAAACGATGTAACGCGAAGGTCGCAAGCTTCGCGGTAATTCTTACCGCACTATACCTTATTATAGAAAGACTATCGCCAAGTATTATTCTACATGGTAACGGAATCGGAAAGGGGAGAAATACAGGGTGTCCTAAAAATGTTGGAGGTCCTTGAATGTGAAAAAACTTTTTCCTTAGCGAAATTGTTGTTCGAGGCTTCGTTGAGGAGATATTAACGGAAAACACTGACCAATCAGAGCGCGCGGATACCGTTAGCGCGGCCGTGGTAGCGAAGGCTACGAGCTAAGCGGCCGCGTCCAATGTCCTTCGATGCAGGTCGAGTCACTTGTTCGCGTACAAGCGCGGCCGCTTAGTACATAGCCTTCGCTACCACGGCCGCTCCAACGGTATCCGCGCGCTCTGATTGGTCAGTGTTTTCCTTTAATATCTCCTCAACGAAGCCTCGGACAACATTTTTGCTAAGGAAAAAGTTGTTTCAAATCACCTTCCGAACCACCTCTTTCAAGGACCTCCAACATTTCTGGGACACCCTGTACATACAATGCAGTTGGATGTCGTTCGAAAGAATTTAAGAAAATAATAGAGAGAGAGAGCGACTTAGAAATTATGTGACGCGGCAATGAAAATAAATTTTATAGGCGTCCGTCGAAAACGGTCAAGATATTCGAGGGTTTCCTGGACGGTGCATGACACGTAACGAGCGTTCCATTACGCAACGAGTTAACTTTCCAACATGTCGGAGTTAAAATAGAATCGTTATGGACACGGCTCTTGTTATGCGCGACCGATTTAATTATAACCAGCGCGTCGTCCTTTATGGAGTATGTCGATTTAAAAAAGGACCGTAAGGGAGGGGATCGTATCAGCCGTGATGTACTGCGTACCGAGACCAAAGCAGATGCGAAATATCGACTTTCCGTAATCCCTCTCCCCCCGTAGCGTATCGTGATTCCCAGGTAGATTTCCACCTGGGGTGGCAACTCGAACCTGTCCAATTGCAAGGCTGATGAAACCGAAGAGACGAGACATCGGTGTTTGCATCATAGTTCGGTACACATTCCGTATATCTGACACGGGCACGTGCTATCGATCGAACTTGGCACGATAGGAGCTTCCCTGTTCGGTAAAATGGATACGAAACCTGTTGTTTACCGAGCAAGACACGTTTCGCCCTATCGATTATCAACGATGCGTAGTAAGGCACCACCCCTGCTGCATCTTGGCCCTTTTTTACGCGTCAATTCTTCTTAATAGCGTCTAGATTACGAAGACGTTGGAAGAAGGTAGACGATAGTTTGGAGTCGTTCTTGGAACCTACGAATAGTATTAGTTTGTCTGGAAAGTCTATGCCGATTTTTGGTAGGTGGTACACGTCTGTTTATACTGAAATGATTGAAAACAATTAACATGGGTGAATCCCTTAAAAGGTGGAAAGGTCGTGGAACAAAATGGTACTTATGTAATTCAATAAATATATATCAAAATTCAAACGTGCCTTTGAATTTGTCTTAAAAATTGCCACGAACTTTCTGGACAGTCCAATACTACCGAATTTACCACGTACGTTGTTATTTCTACTTCTTCCAACGAAATCTAACGAGTCGGTTCGACGTGGTTGAATTCGAAGCGCGAATACGAGCCTCGATCGGTCAGACACCTCGAGCCACGGTTACCAGCAAATGGGAATCGGGAATCCCCGGGGTCCTTAGGCAAGAAGAAATCGGAGATTGGCGCGCAGCCTCGAAATCGTAGCGCGAAAAGGACGATTCTCGGTAATGGACCGTCTAAAAATACCAGAGAAACCCCGTACGGTTCATCGCGAAGACGATGCCCCGAGCAGTCCTCGGAATCTTGTTAAGATGTCACGTACACGTGTCAGATTTCTTCGAAAAATGTCGCGAGCCCGTTTATTGGTAAATTTAATTTATCGCTTGTTCCGTACGCCCTTCGTCGCTTTTACAATTCTCGAAATCGAGAATTCTTCGTAAACGAGTAGGGTAGCTCCATAGTTTACGCTAATTTCCGATCGATCGATCAACCCTTTTCACTCGCATATTTCCTCTGAGGAGACATCGTATGTTCAGCAAATTTTGTTAGCGATTATACAAGATAAATTTACGCGAGCAGTTATTCAGAGGTTTTTCTTTTTTTTTTCTTTTTATAAATCATTATATTTTACAGTTATAAATAATGTGGTTGTTTATAATTGCTACACTGTATAAATTTCGTAATGGGCTATGCCCGTATATATCGAAATAAATAAATAAATAAATAAATAAATAAATAATAAAGCCATGGATTCAACTTTTACACTTAATACATATACGTAATCGTATCGGATCGTTTGTTTGTTTTCAAACAATGAACCTTTATCGCGGCTGGGATGCCATCGATCAAACTCTATTAATAACCATATGTTCTTATTAACGCTAAGTCTCGCTTCGTTCAGTCGCGAAATTGATAACTTAATTTCCCAAATCTTGGAATATTAGAGAAGATACATCAAATCCGCCAACGTTTCCTGGTAGTCCTCCTCGTTCCATTCGTCCCACGATAATCCCTACGTTTATCCTCGAATCGATTAATTTCTGCGCAGTGAAAAAAAAGTCGCCTGAGAAAGTTTCGTGTTTTTTTTTTTTTTTTCGATAAAACGTACGATAAAGAGTTACTTTCCCAGAACGATAGCGCGACCGACAATCTTAAGGGCAGATAAAGATGAATTCCAATCTGTTCCTCTCGTTCGATAAGATTACTCCGTTATCGGTGTCTTTGTCTTGGCGCGTGCGATTTTTTAGGCGCCGTACGCCTCGATTGCAACAATCGTACCACGAATTGCACCATGTTGTCCATCGATCGAACATCGCTGTGTCGCGAAATTCTCAACATTTGGCAAGGACAACTTCTCGCGTATCTTTATCGGCCTACGATTGCCGGTTATAATTTATATAAATACATGCCGAGTACGTTGTTTAATCTGTAAATTGAATTCGATGAAATTTTCGAACGTTCGACGCTTTACTTCTTAGCCGTGTTGTATTCGTTTTTAAAAGCACCTTGGACGTTTCTCGGTACAATTGCAGGTACGCTTCGCGACAAGTTTTTCCTCGTGAAGATTCGATTCCCGTTGTCCCCTATCGTTCAACTGATTATCCGCGAGACGTTCTATATTTAGAATAATTTCTGGAACCGGTCTTCCGGAGGAATACCATTTTTTCGAGCGGCATGATCGCGAGAGCGTCGCGTTTACGCCGATACCGGGAATGTGGCGTCATGGCGGAGGCGTGGAAACGCGTCACGGGCGATCTATACGAGCCAGCCGTCGAACGGGTCCTACGTCTCGAGCCCAGGACGGTGGAAGCGATCCTGAACGGCACAGAGATCACCAGGGACCACATGACACCAGAGATCAAGCTGTTCCTCCTGACGCCTAATTGCGCGTTGTATCGCGCACCGTTTCGAGATGTCTCGGAGAAGAACGAGACCGTGAGGAACGTCTTCAGCGACCCCTTCTGGTCCATTTATTGGCCAGGTGGACAGGCCTTGGCGAGGTTCGTCCTGGACGAAGGGCAGAAACTCTTCTCGACGTCGAGGAAAGACGGGGGAAGGATCTTGGACGTGGGGGCAGGATGCGGAGCGGTCGCCATTGCTGCGAAACTGACGGGAGCTAGGAAGGTCGTCGCCAACGATATCGATAAAGGTGTGTGAAAGCTGTCTTTAGATCTATAAGTGAAATAACAAATTTGGGGAGTAATTACGGTTTTCGTTCAGCTTCATTCGTCAGAAGCGATCGTTTGAACAAATTTTTGTTACGACAGGGAAATTCCCAAGTATTTTGAAACAGAAACGCTCAAGATAATCGATACGCGTAAATTAAGTTGGCGATTCACGGTGTAAATAAGCTTTTATTGATGTTTACATCGGTAGTTGGAATCTCCTCGCGAACGCAATCACTTTTACTTTAGGAACAGAACGAATTGCTATGTATTACGAGGAATCGAAGAGAATTGATAAATCGGAAAGCGCGAGAGGTTTCCGCGATTTCGAATATCTATAGCGAAGAGCGAAGGAAAAGCGATATTGTTATATGCACATTTGAACCGGGTCCAATCGTGATTATCGTTGAGGATTGTTGGCTACGCAGCCAGACACTCGGTGCAGCGACGCAATTGTGAAACGCGTGACGAACCGCGCTGTCTCTTGTGATAGAAGAGTCGCGGAACTTGCCTGTGATAATTCGATACAGCGACGCGTTTCGACTAATCGGAGCCCAACTACTTCGAAAGATCCCCGTCTTCTTTTAAATCCTTTTACGAAAGGCAAACGTTATCGTCATACGGAATTAACAGACACGCAGAATTAATTTCTGCACCTGTATTCATCCAATTAGTATTCTCTAAATGTTCAAATATTTGGGCACTCAAACATGGAAAAATTACAGTTCCAACAAAAGTTAATACGGAGGATCCTGTTGGTATATGCAACAGTTGAATATTGGATTTAGCACGAACGGGACATACGCAGTCGAGAACACATTTGAAACGAGTATATGAATTTTTGTATTCAGCTAACTTCGCTTGTCCTTCGTCTCGCAAGTGTTGTCATCTTGATATGTACAAGCAAAAGGTTATAATAAGTTCTAATCAATTATCGGAAATTACATTGGGTCTGTGTGTACAGTCATTCCATCGTTCCATCGTAACATTCCTAATAACAACAGATCCAAAGTAGTATCACGGTAGAATCGTCCCTGGGTGGACAGTCGAACCAAGTTGAACAGGAAAACGGGGAAGAACCGGTCCCGTCGCGTTCGTACCCGATAAAACAAGACTGTCCTGGTGGGAATGCCAAGCCGCGAAGTAAGAAGAAACAAACTTTCAAGCAGAATTGACGTCACGCGTTTGGTGTAGAGGAACTTGTGTACACAGATTACAGGATTCCCCGAACGACCGATTAATCCGGTCACGTGTTCACGTGTTGTATCCCTTAACGCTCTCCATCGCGTATCTCCACCTGAGATGCAAACTGTGCCAGAAAATAATTCCTTCGGAATAATAATTAGGATAAACGGTCTACATCCTTTGACCGATGTTACAACACTGTTACGAAGACAGTATTAACTTCCTTCTTATCGTTTTCGCCAGCAATTATTTGAGGACGCTATAAGTAACTCTAGCGAAACGATGACAAAAGAGGAACTCGTAATCGATTTCGGTGTTACAGTGGCGAGCATAACCGAAGGTAGCTTGTAGATCTGCACGTGAGGATTGTCAGGCACACACAAAGCTGCCTTTTGTGGCGTTACGCCATCGTGTTGCGGCGATGACGCTTTTCTGTTACGTTTTCAAAGATCAACGTTATTTTTGATTTCGTCGCAGCAAACGGTCGAACAAAAAATCCCAGTCCATAACTCGTTGCACGTTCCATTCGTAATGAAAAATTCGTTTCTATGGGGGAAAGAATTCGCGACAAATACCCTTCGCGGCGTCGCTGTAACCCCTTAATCGACTTCATTGATTGGAATTCAAAGGAATTCAAAGGAATTCCACGTACCGTGGATAACGACACGTGCGCTTACTCTTGCTTCGTTATCGAACGGAACACGGAAAACGTAAATTCAAACGAGAGAAGAATGTAGTAAACAATGTAATCGGGAAATTTAATTCATTCTTCGGTGCCTCGACGGCGCGTCAATTGAAACTTTTGTACAATGAATCACGAAATGTCCTTTTAACGTCATTTCGACAAATCGTCGAAAGCATAACGTGGAACGGGCGCCTTGGGACCGTCCTTGACTCCTTTATCCACGAAATCTCGTTCCGATGACCTACTGGGGGGTAGGCTACTCTTCTAGTCCCATACGATCGATTCCAGGACGGAAACTTTCTTCCAGGAAAGTTTTCGTAACTTTCGGGTATGCTTAGGTTTGGATTTATTGTATTGGTTGGTAACAATGGTACTTTTACTTTCTCCTCTGGTTTTATAAGTTTATAATCCAAATATCGAAGCGTGGGAGCATCTTTTGTCTTTCGTTGCTATCCTTTTTGTTGGTGTCTTTTGGTGATTTGTGGATTTTTACACTAAAACAGTTAAGGGATTCGATTGAATCATTTACTTTCTTTAGGGAAATGACCTCATAGAGTCGTTATTTTAACATCTCCCGTGAATTCTACCTTAGTCGTTATTTTAACATCTCCCGTGAAATCTACCTTAGGGATTTCATCAAATCTCTATTTTTATCATTTCCCTGCGACATCCCTGTCACTCCTGTGTGTACCAATAATTTCCTGGCTCGCTGTGAATGATCGATACGAAAGTTCTGCGATCTCGTTGGAGGGAAATAACCGTGGTTGCGGGATACCTCGATGCTCGAATATTTCTTGGCGATGGTCAGGACAGGTTTGAGTCGCTGCATCGGGGCGTTCCCCTTCTCAGTGGTAACCGAAGCGATTGCACCGTCCGTTCGAAGAAAGTGGAGAATGTGGGTCATACGAGCCGTGGTTTTCCCCGTTTCACAGGAAGACGCGAGCGAGAACTTCTCGGCGAGAAGGGTCCGGTTGCTCGTGCGTCAGTGAAAGGTTGCCCGTTTCTGGATACCACGCTCGCTGCATTCCAAAACGATCTAGCGTCGCGATCTGTGACGCAGTGACGCTAACGATACGATACTAGCAATGCTGTAATACAATGTCGGTGAAAAGGGTTCGACTTGTAAATTACTGTAAACAACGAGGAAAAACACGAGGAAATTCGATGCTTTCAAACACGAAAAGAATGCAAATCTACGCCATGACTTCACTGTCAAAGGTATGGAATCCCTAGGTATTGAAGCACGATAAATTTTGGATGTTCCTATTCTGATCAGTAAGGATACAGGAGGCTCTACTATGGAGGAGCGTACTACAAGTTGCATCGTTGACTTTTGTATATGTGTTCGTATATGTATGAGCAGCGCAGGAAATCCCTCTGCGATCCTCTCCCTAAAAAGTTGAGAACGTCTTTCGAAGGTTTCCTCCTCGAAGCTTCCGCCGCTTCCTTCGAATACGTCGCGAATCGTACAACTTGTGCGTAGCAATCGCGGTTCACTCGCGCACGAGTTGTATCGAGTTGCGCGCGAGTTACTCGCGAATTAATCGAGACGTACGCGCTCGGGCCAAAGCGAGCCAAGGACAAACGATGAAATTCCTCGACGACACCGGCTGCCAGAGAGCGACCTAGTAACACCATATTTCACACGGCCTCCTTCAAGTTCACTTTCACCGAGTTACATCGCTCCGAAGCGATCCTGACCACGATCCGCGAGAGATCGATGTTATGCAATCGCAACGGTTTTGCCATTCTACCAACTTCCTACGGCTGAAACGGTTTTCTGTTAGGCGTAGAAATTAAAACCGTGTAACTTTTAATTTTCCCTTGGTCGTATATTCCAAGGGATTTAACTCGTCACCTGTGGGGTTCTCTTTTCAGAGCGCGCACCTGTGTGCGTCGCGAGAATCAAGCAATGACAAGGATAATTCCGTATAGTAGTCGAACGCAGAGTAAGTGATAGAGTTTGTAAATATTGTACGTATAGATGTATAGACGCAAATAGTCATCATGACATAGCTGACTGGTTAAAACGTTTCTACTTAAACTAGCTATAAATGTATGTATGTAAAGGTATAGAAGTAATCTCTACACCTAACACGTACTCCTGCACATTTTGGAGAATAAAAGCTTCGATATGAAATCATTGGTCACAATGGACATGCTAAACGCTTTCCGCGGCGTCATGTTTGACCCACGTGGATCGCGTCGCGCAATTTTTCCCTAACTTTATCTTATCCTCCAACGCGAACTTTCATGTCGCTGGATTCAGCCAGATACCATCTACCACTCGAAGCTATTCAGAGAAATCGATAATTACGATTAACCACGCGAAATTCCTTCGCTTGGGTATATATCGTTGGAACACCGCGTCGATGGAATCTTTCACCGTATTATCGGTGATGTATTATCATAATTTATCACATAGCAGTCCTTTCCCCCATTCTTTGGATTAATGGGATCGCGGAAAACTGGCCGGTGAAGTGCCGCTAAGCATGGAAACCGAGCGAAGAAGTCAAAACTGGAAAAGAAGAGAACAAAGGCGACGTTATGTAACGATTCGTCGTGCGTTAACGCGCCAACGCAATGACGTCCATTGACGTCTATTCTTTAATCCTAAAGACGAAAGACTTGGTTGGAAAATCAGCATTCATTGTTATTAACGACGGTGTAGAGCCAACTGGTTTCATCGAGTAAACGACGAAACGAGTACTGGTTAAGAACCGATTCGATTTGGTTACGCTGACCGATAACACGGTGGATCGTTAAGACAATTAACAAGCTCGTGGATACGATAAAACGACGTTGTTATTTCCAATTCTAACTCGATCGACGATAATCGCACGATAAATGATACGATTGAACTTGCGTTTGTTTTGTTTACTTTGAGAGGGGGAACTCTAGCCACGTAATTAATTCGTGTTTGAGGACAAAGTAATTCTCTATTCGATACAAACAAATCTAAAATATGTTTCAAAGAGAGATCGCGACAGGTCATGCTCGAAACATCCACACGTGTGCAAACGCAATTCAAAGTATGTGCATTATTGATTAGTCGCAAGAAAACGAATTACATAACTGCTCGGTCGATATTGAAATCGATTTCCTACTTCCTCGTGTCTATCGGAAAATCCAGCGTGGAAACCCTTAGACGTGGGAAATTCAAAGAAGTTTTCTCTAGAACAGAGAACACAATTGATAGAAGTGTATCGAAATAGCAAACAAATTTCTTTAAAATAGTCACGACGAATCTGACTGTCGCTGTCCTACAACGATTGGCAACGAAGATACGTTTAGTACCATCTGTCCTTTAAAATTCCAAGGCCGTTCGAGTTTTCCTCGAGAAATCCAACATTTATTTTTAACGTTAAATGAACAGTCGAGGCACATTAAGATAGCGAACATATCGATGTACCTATTTCTGACGAAACGTTTCGCGTAACTGTAATCGTTTTCGCATATATGCTTTCAGTCGCGTGCGCGGCTATCGCGATGAACGCGGCGTTGAACCACGTGGACGTGCAGGTGTCGCAAGAGAATCTGTTGCATCGTCCACCGGAGAAGCCAAACGACGTCATCTTCGTCGGGGACATGCTGTACGACGAAGAGATCGCCGCTGTTCTGATCCCGTGGCTCGAGCTAGCGCGGACGAATGGAACGCGAATCTATCTGTCCGATCCAGGACGACACGGTCTGACCACCGACTTGAAGAAACGACTGAAACCGCTTAGGCGATACTCCTTGCCAGAGAATGTCCGAAAAGAAAATTTCGGTCACGATACATGTGACATCTGGGAGTTCCGTGGGACGCGTGTGAACCATTCCTGAATAAACAGTTTCGTGTCGTGTTCCATTTGGCTGTAAAAAGAAATTTTAGATAAAAAAAAAAAAAAAGAAAGAAAAAAAAAAGAGTTGGAAGAAAATTGTAATTACGACAAACGCGATGCTCGCGTTTGATTCTTGAACTCTGAAAGAATAAAAATGTTGTATGCCTTGTTTCGAAAGAAATTTAATAAATACATGATGCATAACTTTGAGGGTGTTTTGCCACCCCTCGTCTAACATTTTTCCATGCTCTATTTGTACGCAAAGTTTCTTAGAAATCGGTATGTATTCGAGTCGGTAGGTTCATAATCAACTCGCGCGATTAAATAATAGCTACTGGTTGGAACGCGTGTACGTTTGTCGTACGGTAGCGCGTGCTCGGTCATAAACAACCCGCTGGTCGGATTTACGGCAGCCAGACGACGAAGATTGCGAAACGCGCCGACGCGATAACGCGTCAGTTTCGTGCAACGCTATATACATATTAAGTCATTCCGACGTCTAGCGATATTTTTCGCTGCGCGAATCATACTTTCGGGACACTGTGTACATTACGGGTATATTCGCGTCCATTGAATCTATGAGAATGTGCAGAAATGGAGAAATATATAAAATATGACAATGTATTAGGTTGTCCCGAAAGCTTCTTTCGTTTTATTAATAATTAATACATACGCAATATTTGATGTTTTATGTTACCTTACTGAATCGTGTACAATTCATTTCGCTTCGTTACTGTTACAGCATCAATGTCTAAGAAATTAGATTGTCTATTTATAGAAACACTGCCACGGAAAATAATTGAGTGCAACTCACGAAAGAAACTATTCGGACAACCTGATATATGTTGTAGCTTTCGGAAGATAAGACACAGTTTCGCTCAACTTTCAATCCTTTTCTTTTTTTATATCTGTGAAAATATAAATTTAAACAAACATCCGCAGTCTAATCATACAAAATATTTGACGCTGTACGTTGATTTGTTCCACCTTTGGTTTCAACGCGCGAGAGGCGTCCTCATTCTCAGATTCCATTAAAACCACTTAGTCATCTCGACTAGGCAACTTCGTTCAAATGTTTGCCGTTCGAACTAAAATACAATTAGCGAATTGCCTCGATTTGCATAGAATATTTTGATTCTAGATAATCCTTGAGTGTCGAGTAAGCACGTCAAACTCGCTTTGGTTCAAAGTCCACCGTGCCGTAAAATAAGGACAATTAACAATAAGCGAGTTCGACACATCCGGTGCGAAGCGTCTCTTACCATCGATAACTGATCGATCGTTGTTTTTGTTGATATTATTGAACAATGCTTTGCTCACCTGCTTTACAACGTACCCCTCCAGGTAGTCGTCCTGCGCTGCCAAAGAGGCCCTCAACGACGTCACGTTTGCCAATTTTATTCTGCATTGGTATCTCGCTCGATCTGCAACAGCGTTTCCAGATGGTTACTTGTACGGGCAAGACAAAGAATTGCTGGTAAATACGGTAAAAAATAACTGGGACCGATGTATGCTGGTCTCAAAATAAGCGCTGTTTGTTCGAAAAAATTCTAATTAAATATAAAATAAAGTTCGTATAGTAGAATGGCTCACTCACGGTTGTAAATTTTCGTGCCGTTTTTACAGGCGCAAGGCTGCTGCCGCTCCCCTTCGCTGTAAGGGCACTGCATTATGCAATTGTCCGTTCCGCATTCTGCGAAGAAGCAAAATCATTGACCTCGTGCGCTCGGTTATTCCGTCGAATGACTCACGCGCGATTCGCCCGCGAACGTGATTCATTCGGAAATGATCTGCCCAATGAGGAGACCATACATTCCAACGTAGGACACGTTAGTGGCGCGTTATACCTCCGTGAGGCCCAAGACGAGATGAAAGAGGGCCGTAATGTCTACTGAAAACTCGATCGAACGATAGATTTACAGCAGCAATTGCACAGAGTTCAGTGAAAGCATTCGTTAGAATGTTATAGTAATAATAACGTTCGCTGTACCTGGGAACATTAATTACTAGCAATTACATACACTCGTCGGGGTACTTGAGAGAAAGTAATGTTATATAAAAAAAAAAAATATGAGGTCTTTGAATTTATTCACTATAGCCTTTCAGTTACACGGCAGCGCTATCCGATCTGATATAGAAAACAAATAGAACCACAAAAGTTTTAAAAAAACACCGTTCCAGATAACGAAATCTATCTGGTATTTACAGTTTGCCATAAATGCATAAACTTCCGCGGTCTAGTCATTCCGTTTCAAAGATAGCGGTACCCACCGGAGACGCGAACAAATATTTAACCAACTGCGACATTCCTGTTAGCGAATATTCGCAAACCGAACGTTTATAATTTACGAATCGCCCGGTACGTAATCAGGGGATTTCCCGGAGTAGACCTTGAACGCTAGATGGAGCGTGTCCAGACTTCTGTTATGTTATATTATAGATACCTTTCGTACCTACCGTTTACGCTTTCGTGACTGTGAATAAATGCAATTTTATTAAAAAAAATAAAAAAAGTAAAATAAACATAAGAATAACAATTCAAATGTCAAACGTAACGTGTATTATTTGAAAAGAATGTCTGGATTTTGTGCAACTTGAAATATTTTTAAATGGAAAATTGTACCCGTCATCAAAACGGTATACCTTCGCGAGATTGTAAAGAAAAGGAACGAACGAGTGATCTACTCTGTGTATAAAGTAAACGTTACCGTCATCCCCGTTGTCCAAAAGATGAATCTCGCAGCGACGTCCAACGTAGCCCACGGCGCAATGGCAGTTCATCGCTTCTGCTCCAATTTGCCTGCGATAGTTGTAGGAGTTCGTTATTTTCGTTAGTCGGCGAAATTGCAGGGAAAAGTTCCTTTCGCGAGCAGAAAAAGGATCGCGTCCGCTTTTCATGTAGACCCCAGCGATTCCGGTTCTCGAGAACTCGAGGGACGCGGGAATAATTCGATCGGAGATCGTTCAAATGGAAACAGCGTATAGCTATTTATTCGTAACGTCTCTTCCATCGAACAGATACTGAGATGAGCTCTTATTCGATCGACATACACGATCTGTCTAAAAAGAAACCGAACTTTTGCTGTAAAGGGACACATTATAGCGATATTTCGGAGATTCAGGTCGCTGTGACTGTCGTACTCAACGGGGTACCAAAGCAGGAGCTGCGAAGGTCCTTCGAAGCGTTAATTACGCGGTCTACGCAGAGGGACGCAGAGGGAGATTATTTTGAGTAAATAAACGTGCGTGTAAAAACTTTACTTGTACTTTTTTTTCGTTTTCTAGCAAAAGTTCGGTTTCTTTTTAGACAGACCGTGTACATTCGGCGACAATAATCGTTTGGCGTAGAGAGCAAAAAGAAACTTTTCTTTTCTGGATCATACGTACATGCAAGTGCCGCCATTTTGGCACACAGGATCGTGTCTGTCGTCGAAGCACAGGGGTCCCACGTTGCAGTTCTTCCCGCTGAAGCCCTCGAAGCAGTCGCACTGGAAGCCTCTGCGAAGAAAATCAACGAAAGATCTCGTTATTTGTAGACATTAAACGAATTGATAAATAAGAAATATCTTCTTCCTCGAGTTCAACTCGTTGGCTCGTCGGTACAAGGTTCAGCTTCGTTACTCTCGCGATAGATCCTCTACATTGGCATGCAACGAGCGAAGACCAGGCTTGAGCAACGAAAAGGAAGACTCACGCGTAGTCGGCCGAGACGAGACAGTTTCCTGTGTAAGAGCAGCCACGAACGGAACAGGCGGCCGAGTTCGGTTCGTCCTCCGTCATTTGATACGTGACGTTGAACCCGTACACGTCCAGCAGGTCGTTCAGCACGCGTACGTGGTTGCCCTCGAGTCTCTCCAACTCGAACTCCACTACGAGAAACGGTCTAAACGTTCGGAACCAACGGTACTCGAACACGTTGCCCTCGGTGATCTCCTTGAGCAGCAAGGCGCCAAAGTTCATGCTCTCGGACTCGTAGTAAGCGTACTCGGTGAATCTTAGACCCTTGAAGACGTAGACCTGCGTCAGGTAGACGACGATGGAGCTGTTCGTCGCCGGTATGTCCGACACGTCGATCACCCAACGACACTTGATGGGAACTGGAAACGGCCCTGGGAAATTCGGGGTCTGGATGACGCCTCTTGGCGCGGTCAAACGGTCGTTGCAGGACACCTCGACCGTCTCGGTGCCACCGATCATGGTGACACACCAAAGGCAGGAGAGAATGTTGATGGCAGTGGACATCGTGGGCCTCATCTTCGGGGGCTGGCTCACTGGATAAATAATTCATTGGATTGGTATCGCTCAGTAGAAGCTTTACATCGGTAGATTTAACTGGCTGCTTTGTAGAAAATATGTCTAAAACGTAAGCCCTGAAATGATATGTACAAAGACAAATGGGTCGATAATTCTAAAACTCTCAAATAATCTAGAATCGTAAAAAGTATTTTCCAGAACGGTAGAAAAATTAACAGTAAAATCTACGATGTTCTTGCGAGTGGAACGAAACTTTTAAACGAATCAACGCACACGACGCTCGTTTTGCTATTTTATTAGGATTGACGTTAATTGTCCTCGAACACATGCAACAGGGGCAATAACCATCGTCGTTCAAAGTGCACCTCGACATACACGTCAGAACAAACAAACTGGAAAGCCTCAACCCCGTTAATTCTCGACGACGTATAGACTGCTAAGTCCTTTCACTTCCAAAATCGGGAAGACGTATACGTGGTATCGCGTAGATATCGTTTACGTTTCGATTTCGTTTAGATACCCTTAATTACTTATCCGAATAAATCATATAAATTTTGTCCCGTTATAATCTATAAATTTTTAAATGTTATCCCAGATAATTTCTTGCTGTGATCCATAACGATCTATTCTGTTCCTGATAAGCCGAATTAAAGCGAACCGATTGTACACTAATCGTTGTTAATATTAAACCCAAGATCTACTTTATAATTGCGTTTAATTGCTCTCCATGTCCGTACGGTAAGCGTGGGCTACTCAATTTGCAGAAATATGGTTCTTTATCGAATCGATCCGTTTCTTTACTTCTTGAAGAAAAAAAAAAATAAAAATAAAAATTCCACCAACAATTCTAGATGTTTACGTTTCCAATCGAACGTTTCTACGTTACACCGACTACTCGATTAAATATCTGGGTCCAACTGAAACTCGTAAAGAACGATATCACGTAAATTGAATTCATCGTTGACACAGTAAACAATCTTTACGCCGAGGAAGCGTTATCCTTGACAGTCGAAATTAAAGTGCAACCCCTTGTAAATTCGTAATTGTCTAAGCAGAACCAAACAAAGCTTTCGTTTACCTTCCCTTCTCTGTTCAAACGCTTCTGCCGAAAAGGGTTAAAGCGTCGAGCGAACGAGCCATGGTCCTAATCGAGTAATCCTCGTTTATCCAGAATCCTTGGTATCCAGAACGAGCGTGTTCCTGTTCGGCACTGTCCTGGGCACAGTTATCGCATAGTTGGACGGTGGCACTCGGTTCCCGCACAGAAACAACACCCCGGGGGGGATGATCCCGTTGGTGAATGAAACATATATCGAGGACCAGTGGATCTGGAAGGGGTGTAGAGCGACGGTATCGCGTAATACATCAATGCTGGAAGTATACGTGGGACGTGCAGGGTGAGAAGCACGGCTCGTTCGAGCTGGCCCAGTCGTGGCGACGGCCAGCGCGCGAGAAGACGCTCCGAGGACGGCGATCGATTATGTCTGTGGTCTCAGGATGATTAAAAATCGGATCTCGAGTGTCTGTCGTTATCACGAACGCGCGTACCCGCTATCTGCTGGGCAGCTGGGCGTTAGCCTCTTCCGCGCGACTGATCTCTACGCGCGCACCCTCCGTCAGGGGCGGTTCTAGGGTCCTTGCCACCCCATCGCCACCTCAATCGGCGCGCCACCATCCTCCTCTTTGATGTACACAACTTCGCGAAAAATCGCGGAATTCCGGTAAAACAAAACACGGGACGTTTTACAGAAATGTTTTTGTTCCAACTTTAGACGTTTATTCAACGGAAAAAGTATACCGTATATCTTTTTATAAAATTATAAAGTTTATTCGACTGCGCATCATTTGGGAGATTGCCCCTGAACGAATGCAACCCGCCTTGCAACCTCGCTTTTAAATCGAATCCGAGTTGGAGGTAGTTGAAATGGAATCGAATTGTTGACGATGAATATCTAAGATAACGTAAATAAACATGCAGATTCGAATATGACGGGAAACTAGGACTTTCGGTTCGTGGTGAGAAAAATGAAGCATCGTTAACAGTTACACCGTGTAAATTATCCCATGATAAAAATGTATATATATGTATTTATTTAAATAAGAATAACGTAATTTACTTATTTTACAGTTGTCGATTGTAGTTTATGTACAACTTCAATAAGAAAGGTAATGGTAACTGATGTATCTTTTCTATCATATAAGTAGAAAGGGCATTGTTGTTTACATAATGAGCGATGACGACGTCCGAGTCCGAGTGTGTCGCGTTCCAACTGTGTGTGGAGCTACTGGAGCTATTGAAACTACTGGAGCTATTGGAGCTACTGGAGCTATTGGAACTATTGGAGCTACTTCCATCTTTACTATTCAGATTGGTTATCCGATTCCGATCTGACTGGTCGATCACGTTGGCTATTAAACTAACCGTGTGAGTAAATTCGTCGTCGTCGGTATCGTTGGACGAAGATGCGTCCGATTTGTCATCGATGGGTTCCGGTAGTATAGGTTGTTTCAGTCTTATAAGTTTCTTCGATTCCAAGTCTTCGTGCTCGTTCCAGACATTTTCTCTCAAATGATACCTTATGCTACCTCTACATAATTCCCGCAAAGATAGGGGATTACATTCGGCTGTAAAACGTTGAAAAAACATCGATAAAGTAAATTCAATTGTCAAATATTATACCTTTATTTGAGTCCAATTACGTTCAAAATTGTCTGATTACAGGCATACGTACGTAAGTAAAGCGTCGTCTGCTCCGCTACGGTAGGAACAACCAACGTTGCAAACGATACGGGGAGCAACTTGCAATCCAACCAAGTATCCTCGTCTATTCTACGTACGCGAAGCAAGTGATCCTCGTAAGGCATCACGAGGATGCCCCCGATACGCACAAATTGCTTAATGTACGCTACGTGAGTTTCAGAACATGCGGCACCACAATAAACTCTATCGTATTGTCTATCTGGTGCAACGTTCAGACAATTCCCTGTTAAATACATAGTTGCATGACTCTCTTCTGTCATGACAGGAGCCATATATACTCATTACTAAATTCTCTATGCGTCACCTTGTACAAAAAGTGGTTCGCAAAAGTCAAACTCATCCAAAGCTAGCGACTTTTGCTTAAATTCTTCTAGCCGTTCGTACGCATACTTTAGACAATCTTCGTACAACTCAATTCCGTGATTTGTTCCATGTTGATCTAAAAAAGGTAAAAGATATCTCAAATATTCTACAGCAATTTATTAAAACAGCAGTTGCCTTACTCAATATGAGTCCTGCCATTGTACTGAGATAACCGGTTCCCGATCCAAGATTTAAAAAGCTCAGTCCAGGGCTCAACGAAAGGTTTTCCATCACCTCGCTGTACACATATGGAGCTGATAGGTGTATCTTGCCATCCTTCCAAGCAAAGTTTTCGTAAGCTTTTTTTCTGCGCTTTGATAAAACATAATCAGCTCTGTCCACTGCTCTAAATACTTGCTCAACTTTTTTTGTCCTTATGTATCCAGATTTCATTAAATTATCTACTAATTCGCTATTACTCTTTCCACTGCTTTCAGATGCCCCCATTGTTGAAAAAATATCCACCTGTAACAAGATTTCCTTATTTGTTAGTCAAATATTTATATTGTTATACAAACTGTATCTACTGCTACTTATGTAATAGACTTGTTATTAATCGTGATGAGCACAAATTTGTGAATGGTTCTTTTAAAAATATAAATGGTACAGATACAACAATCGCGAATCTTTATTCTAAAAATAAATTACCAGGTCAAAGTATATGTTAATTGCAACAACTAAACTTCAAATAAACACAAGAAATATTATAAATAATAATCTATCGCGGTATACTTCATCCGTTGAAAATAATATTTCAACAAATATCAGGTACTTTTACATAATTGCACTCAATCCATAACAAATTGTTAACTTTGCAAACGTACCGAATGGTATTACATTGCGCGACGAATGAACAAATCAAAATCATAAAAATCACAATACTAGATAAAAAAACGCTCAAAATTGAAGGTATAAACACACATATTATAGCAGAATTCTCGTTAAAACTTTCCCTTACCAGATGAAAACACTATATTCGCTGACACCGACTAATGGAGTCAATGTTGATTCAAGTTAAAAACAAAAAAAAACTGTTGAGTAAATGAATGCGTTACGATGAGCAAAGTATCGCGCATTGCAACGTGACGTTTTGGTGAGGCAGGCCGCAATTACTGTAACAGTGTTTTCTGTTTTGATAAGCGTAAGGTCCATCAAGTCCATCAGCTGATAGCACAACGCACGACTGTTTCTACGCCATTGCACGGCTTCGATGGGTTTACACGTATGTGCTGTTAAATGACGCAAAGGCAAGATTTCACGTAGGCGAAACGAGATCGTTCACAATCACGATTACTTCTCTTTTTACTATTTTCGTTTCATTTTCCTTGACCTCGAGGTCCACCTTTCCTTACATCCTTTTTACCTTTTTCTATCAATTGTGCACGCGTGTTAATCGGCCTCTTCGGAGCGTACGACATCGAGCGCAAGCGTTACATATTCGTGACATATCCTTCGAATGCAAATGTAAATATATATGTACACAAATTATGCTCATATGTTTTCGACAGTTTTGAAAGTCCGATGTAATGTTGCCTTTGTAATCACCGCGTCCATCGTACCTTTCCGATAGAGAACATATAACAATGAATTAAATATATACCACACGAATGTTATTATATACCGCACTGTTAAAAATACGATGATGCCAGCTACGAAATGCATTTTCTAATGTATTCGTCAACTCCATTTCATTTCATATATATCGACTCTATTTTTTTTATTTCGATCGATACCATTGTATTGTTTAATTATTTATTTTGTACAATTAAAAATATCGTTTCACTTAACGTGTCCCATTAGAAATGAGAAAGCTTTTGATGTCACTTCATAAAATTTCCCTAAAAATAATTTTTTTCGTCGCTAACAGGCTCGTGTATACACGAATACAAGGGAAGGAGTAACCACCATTTGGAAGTTTATATATATATATATATATCTGTAAATATGAATTATGTATGGATCGTATTTTGTGCCTAGAAAGTGTGCGTTTCTGGAACAGGTTTGATTTTCCATCGACAAGTTGGCGACGACAATGCCAAGAATTGCAAATGTATTATATATCACTAAATATATATTTCTGAAGTGGTTGAGCATTTTTATCTTGTTTCATTCTATATGTACGAATGTGAACGAGTCTTTACAGCAGAAGCAACATGGGTCGAAGCGCATGCGTATTTACAATGATACCGTCTCTTCGCATATGATGGCGACTGACAACTTTAAAACGTGAGTTTATTATCATATAATTTCTTATGTATGCGACGTGCTGTTCGCGTGTAAAATGTAACAGTGATATCACTAAACGTTCAGATCCTTATCGGACGAGTAATTTTTTTTCACGGTCGTTCCTCGTTAGAGTATATCCTTAAAATTACCGCTCATAATTCGTTAGACCAACATTCACTTATCCTAGTAAGTATACCTATAAAGCTTCTCATAACTTCTCGTACTGGTGTACTTGAAAAAAATGTTACAAAATATTTTTGAATGAATATAACGTGGACGAACTTTTTAACGGAAATGGTTCCAATTTATACGTTAATCTTTGCACGAATTCTTTTTTAATTTACCTTTGATTCGTACGAAAAATACTTAAAACGTCGGTGACTTTAGTGGCTTGATAACGATTACGTCTATGTATTCGTAACAATCAATTTATAACGTGGAAGTTAAAATAAATAGTTGCTTTTCGATTTATGATAGTTTCCGAAAACTTTTAAGTAAGCTCGATATATACATTAACAATCGTGTACTTAACGAAAATATAAATTTTAATTTATTTTTCATCGTGAAACAATAGGAGTCGTAGTTATGTTTACATTGCGAAAAAAAAGATAACGATTAAACATTACTTTGTTCGAGTAACGTTCGTTTCACATCGTATTGCTAATTTAAAAGTAAATCGTAATTGGTGATTATGTCGTATTCTCAACGTTACTCTCGATTTATGCAAAATTTATTAACAATCACGAATTGCAATAAATTTTGTCGTTACTCGTGCTCATCGTTGGTTTCTATCTTTGTCAAATAACAAAATGTATCGAATTCACGCGATATAAGAATAATTTGTGCTAGTCGTAAATTTCTTAATACGAATCGATAATGCATCGAGCATCGCAAGTATTAGTTTTATAGTTTGGAGGTTAACGCAGATGTATATCGAAATCCAAACTCTAGTTTTTCGCTTAGCTCCCGAAACGACTAACCCGATTAGCATTTTTTATGAATCGATATGAAAAATATGTTTACGCATGGTACAGTGGTAAATATTGATCGGAAAATTTACTAAATTCACCAAGACTCGTCAAAATTACTGTTTCAAAGACAGAATCCTTTTCCCGATCGGACGTATTGCTCGTTCGACCAATCCAATCACGATAACAATGCGACGTCACGCATATACCTACTGCCATTGGTCGAAGCCAGGGGTATCTGCAAAAATGAAGTAATAAAATTTAATGTACAGTCGCACTTGAAATAAACTTCGATCGTGAAACCGTGGTGCATAGTTGAGTCGAATTCGGGACACGGTTAACGACGAGAACGTAAACTTTCGAAACGTCGCGGTAAACGTCGACGAGCAATCGTGATTTGCTTGTTTAAACAATATTACTGGCTTGGTTTGCATCGATCAGCAGAAAATTGCTTGTCCTTTTTTTCCCCCTCCGAGGATATTTGCGCGGGAGAATGATCGAGGGAAGCAACGATGCGAATATTCCGTGCGAATGATCCGATTTGGATCGAAGGAGCTCGGACACGTCATGCACGTTTATCGATCGGTTAGCCCCGATCTTCGAACGATTTCAAAATTACTTGTGTTCAGGAAAAATCTGTACGTCGAATGCGGTTAACAGTGGCATCGAGAACGTCGTGATTGGTCGAAATCGCAAGCTTGTTCTACGGTGTAGCAGCGATTAACCAATGGCAAGCGGCCTGTTGCGCCGTCGCTACTACAGTTGGAGCCTATAAGGACGTAGATGTAGCGTACGGAGAATGAAGGTTCGAACGCTTAAAAGATATGCGAGAATAATCGTTTAAAAACCAGTGGAATTTCGATTCTGTTTATTCCTCGTTAACCGTGCAATAAATATTCAAGCCCTCGTCCACGAATCTCGTCCGGGAAATCGATTTTTCATCGGTTTAACGGTGGTCTCTTATTCCAGTGAAAAGAGTGCGTGCGCGTTGTGTTCATCGAGTGATTCGTGATGCGCGACGAGGACTGATTTTATAAAAGTATTTGAACAAAGATATCCTGTTATTGTTGAAAGGACTCGTTCCCATGGGCCTCTGGTTTCGCGTAGAATGCGAGAAATAAATTCTCCGCGGTCTGTCGACACGTTTGAAACCGTCAAAAATAATAACGTAACTCTACTCAGCAATAATAGTTCGGCGCGTGTTTCAAATCGCGTTTGTGATTCTCTGAACGCCCAGTTATGGCTATCCGCGTACACCACGGCGTTAGATATCGAAGCCTGTGAACTCCTATCGCGGTCGTCCTGCGTAAAATTATTCGTTATTGCATTGCTCACGTTTGCAATTACTCGTGAATTATGTAACTTGTAACAATTCTATTTGGCGGCAGAAGATATTAGACATTGTTAGGTTCGTAGGATACATTCTTTCACGTGTATGTCCTCTGCGAATTATTCTATAAACAATTGTGTACAAATCTTGTGTACGATTTCGTTTTTGAACATTATCTTATTTGCACACTTTCAGAGGTTTTAACAAGCTTAACGTTTTCGGTTTTTGTCTGGATTATGGAAAATTACCAAAGTTTATTTGTGTATAAAGTGAAGCAAAAGACATAAGTTGTAAACGTAAAACGAGAAACAAGGAAAATGTTAAATAATAGGATGCTTGTTAAGACTTTTCAGAAGGTATATTTTACTTCAAGTGCGAGTATATTAAATCAGTGGTACTTTTAACTTTAATTTTGATCATTCTCTTTACCGTAATAATCCTTTAAGACCAATTTTTCTAATATGTATAAAGTTGAAGTTATTTGTTCGCTTACTATTAATTAAACGTGATTACTATTTAAATATCTATTATTACAATTATATAGTTTTATTTATCTTACAATATTTGGAATGTTTAGAAAAAATAAAGGATCTGTAAAAATATGATTCGTACCTTGAGATATTTTCTTGTAGTTAATAAAGAAATTAACAAATTTGTGAACCAAAAATATTGTACATGCTTGGAAGGACTACATCGCGTTATGTTTCTTCTACAGAATGGAAGAGGAAATAGTAGTAGACGACATAGATGAGAATAGTTGCACAGAGACCCAACAGTTGGATGACTCAACGACACCCGTCATGCCTTTATTATATATTCAACAGAGTAAATTGCGTTCTGCACCCCAAACAACGACAAATCAAGCCTTGGTTTCGCAGAATGCTACTCAACTTGCTGCCATTATCAATCCAGTTAACAATCAGGTAATCTATTAAGATGTTGATTTTCATATTTTCAAGCCGGTAATTTTTCTTTTTCATGTCATATATTCCATATACAGAATGAAAATTTCTATAATGGTTTCTATAATTACCAATATCTATAATTTGATGCTTACATAAGTGGATTAGTACTTTGTACTGTATGGTACAATAAACTGAATGGTTACATATTTAGGTCAGAGTAACCTATAATTATGTAAAGTGATATAGAATAATATCAAGTACTTCAAACATACAATGATTAAGAGTAGACATGTTTCGCTGTGTCATGTGTGAATTGATACATAATGTGTATGTATATAGTATGAAGCCTTATTAGATTCTGTATGTAGGTGGTAACAGTGAGTGGTGCATCTCTGTATAGTAAATATAGATTTGTTCAACATATTTGTTGTAGTAGTGAATTACAACTAGGAAAGTATAGATTAGGGTAAATATTTCATCCATAACTGTTAAGTTTTTCTTTCATTATATGACAGTAGTGATACTACAATTGTATTTTTTAAATAGAACATACCTGTCAAAAAGTAAAAAGTTACATCAAATTAGACAACTCGTCATTAAAATATATGACTGATTTCTATCAAAGTGTCAAAACTAATAAATCAATTCTCGGGGAATGTGTAAGTTGCTTTTTTAATGTTGTGTAAATATTTCCTTTATTCTTATTCTAGATTGTTACTGGACAGAATAAAGTATTTATACAAGGGCCAAGTCAGGTTACCACTGCTCAAAGTAAACAACATATTGTAATTCACCGGCCAATTAATACTGTCAGTACAACAACAACTTCGCAAGGTCAGAAACACATATTGCTTAGAAAGTCTAACGCATCCACTGCTCAGATCGTGCCCTTAAGTACTTCTCAGGGAAACCAAACTAATGCCCAAGCAGGCAAGCATACGTTTGCATATCTTGGAACGCTTATTAAACCAAATAAATCGCGTGAATCGGTTGTTATTCCAGCAGGTAATTAATTTTCTTTGATAATAAAGTATTAAATGGTAAAGACATTTTTTTGCAAGAGTAGCTTTAGTTCAATTGTTGATATTTCTTAATAGGAGCTTTGACATCATCTCAGATAACTAAACCAAAATTAGTAATTGCACCAGTTATATCTCAATTAGCTCAAACATCGACGAGCACTACTATAGGGTCTCAAAGTCAACCTTCCAAGCACATGGCGAATTTATTACTTCCAGTCAGTATTCCTCAACAAAGCGGACCGACTAAACCCAGCATGTTTAATTTAAAAATCAATAATGGTCAAATTAGTACAGAAAGTAAAGGAACCATTACAGGTATGTAGTTGCAGAACTTGATCTGTTACCCATTTAAATTTAAAAGACCAAATGTTCATTTTGTCTTGCTTCTGTATCAGTTTTACGGGAGTCAAAAACAACAAATTCTGCCACTCATCCACCACCGCTACATCCCATTGCAAAAATGAGTTTACTGAGTGCAAATAAAGGAAACAATAATTCTACGGACAGTATAAAGATTACGGAAAATCCCGATTCTGCTGTTATTACGCCTATTCCAAAAAAAGATGACACGGGGATGCCCGAGAAAAGAAAAAAGACCATAAGCAATATATTGCGAGGATCTAATGAGAAGAGATTGAAAAAACAAACTTTGCCAAAATCTCCACAGGAGAGTATGATGGATGTAACCTACGCGCTAAGTAGTCCCGAGTTAGAACAAGATAAAGACAAAAAAGTTCAAAATGACGACGACATTACTTTGATCAAAGTTGTTCCTAGCGAAGACAAATCTATGAAACTTAATACCACGATGGACGATGACATAAAAATAGAAATTATTAAAACACGCACGAGTTGTGGTATCGAGACAGTATCGGATAACAAAAATGACACGAAAATGAGTAATTACGAAGACTTGAAAGATCATTTAAACGCTACTCATCCGAATGATTCCAGTTTTGATGCTACAAAAGTGCTAGATTGGAAAGATGGAGTCGGTACTCTTCCTGGAAGTACATTGAAGGTATGTTGAGTAGCTTCAGAGAGTTAAGTTAAAAGGAATTTAATACTTTTAAATGACGGGTATTTTTTATAGTTTTGTATGAATGAGTTTGGTATTATGGAAGTAGTGGAAGAGGATGAAAACAATAAACAAGGTAAAGATGGTATCGGTGATAAAGAAAACGTGTGTTTAACTCAGAACTCTTCCAAGTCCAGTCCCTTAACTGTTAATAATGTGAATACTGAAAAGAAACGTAAGTATTAATAAATGAAGTCGCAACTGCTTTAGAAAATTTAATTAAAATTTCGTTAAATATTTTCTTTTTGCAGCCGATGATAGGAAGTCTAGGACCGTATCAGCGGATACAATGTATCACTGCGAAGGTTGTGGGTGTTACGGATTAGCTGCGGAATTTGAAAGTCCAATATCGTGTAGCCCTTCGTGTACAGAAGTAATAGAAGCTAAGAAACAACCTTCGATGCGGAAGGACAAAGATTTGAAGTAAGATTCGATACAAATATTTTCGAAAAATTGGAAGGTATATATTCGAACATTTAAAACGTTTTTTTTTTTAAAGAGATTTACGCGTGAAACGAAAACGTAAAAGATTACTCCAAGAGCAACAACAGCCTAAAGAATTGGAGGATAAGTCCGAGGAAAAAGTACAAGACAAAGTAAAATCTGAAACGGACGAGGATACTAAAGATACTATCACGGGAATAGACGACGAAAGTCAAGGAGATTCGAATGAATCGAAGGTACATGTAACCGAACTTCGCTTTCAAATTTATTGAACCGTACTGCTCATAAGTGTGTCTCTGTATGTAGTATCCTTGGCAGACAGGAAAACTCGGATTTTCGTGGTCCAAGTATCTTGAACATTGGAAAGCAAAGGCTGCGCCTGTTAAATTGTTTAAGGACCCTTTTCCATATAGTAAGAATCACTTCAAGGTTGGGATGAAATTGGAAGGAATAGATCCGGAACATCCATCGCGTTACTGTGTTCTCACAGTTGTCGAAGTAGTGGGTAAGTTGACTGATGTTCTTTGCTCTGTATATCTACAATTTTGCACGACATACGTGAATCTATTTATCCGTGACAGGTTATCGAATACGTTTGCATTTCGACGGATATCCAGAAAACTACGATTTTTGGATAAACGCAGACAGTATGGATATATTTCCCGTTGGGTGGTCCGAAAAAAATGGACATCGATTGGATCCGCCAAAGGGTTACGTGGCCAATAATTTTAATTGGAATGCATATCTTAAAATTTGCAAAGCTACTGCAGCGCCGAAAAATATATTTTTAAATAAAAATGTAAGACGTAACTTCCGATCGAGTAATTATTTTTATGTTTCATAAATTTAACAATAGTCTTCCTTCTTTCAGTCGGTCTTTCCAACTGGTTTCCGAGTAGGAATGAAATTGGAAGCGGTAGATAGGAAACATTCTTCGTTAGTTTGTGTAGCTAGCATAGCAGGCCTAATGGATTCCCGTATATTAGTTCATTTTGATTCTTGGGACGAAGTTTACGATTACTGGGCAGATGCAAGTTCACCGTACATTCACCCGGTAGGGTGGTGTCATCACAATGGTCATAGCCTTACGCCACCGAATAGTAAGCGAACGTACTCCTAAACATATCTATTCGAGTTTAGAATTTTCTTCCAGAAAAAGATAAAGTCGCTATTTCGATTTTTATTTCAGATTACAAAGATCCCAAGTCTTTCACATGGGACGCGTATCTGAGAGAAACTCGTTCCATGGTTGCACCAGCTAGAGCTTTCAAACAACGGCCACCATGTGGATTCAAACGTGGAATGAAATTGGAGGCCGTTGATAAACGAGTGCCTCAACTCATAAGGGTAGCAACGGTCGAAGATGTAAAAGATCACATGTTCGTAAATTATGAAGATTTACTCCTACCGAAGAGCTTGGTTGGACTGAAATTACCCAAAGTTTCGCGTTGCAGGTTGAAAATACGATTCGATGGATGGCCAGAGAATCATGCATATTGGGTTGACGATGATTCCCCAGACATACATCCCATGGGCTGGTGTATGAAAACAGGTCACCCCTTGGAATCACCGTTAAGTAAGTCTTACAAATATTTCTTTATTTGTACTTTTTTGAATCCTTAATTTATATTTTGGTATATGCGCATGTTTAGCCCCTGATAATTTGAACGACAGACCAGAGTGTGGAACGTATGGTTGCACGGGAATAGGACACGTAAAGGGTCCTAAATACGCAACGCACAACTCTGCGTCTGGTTGTCCATACTCGCCTCAAAACCTTCAAAAAGTTAGGCAACTGTCCGATAGGCTTAATCTAAAGCACGAAGCATGCGATTTTGACGATGACATGCTGGACAAGCCAAAAACTGAAAAGACTGAAAAAATAAAAATGGAGAAATCTGAAAAGTCTGAGAAACCCTTGTTTATGGAAGAACGATTATTAAAGACTGAAAAAGATTTTAAACAAGAAGATGGCGACCTCTCCGATAAAAATGACAAGTCCGAAAATTCGGAAAAGTGAGTTGTACAAGTATTTCTCATTGCCTCTATTTTAAGTTATTCAAGGTCGAATGTATACCAACAATAATTTACTGTTTACAGATCGAGTAAGTCGAAGCATCATCACAGCGACGGACAGACGGATGACGACGAACTGTTGAGAAAAAGAAAGAAACGGTTCGTAATTTGTATTATTGGAATTTGTACGTTTCTTTATATTTGTATAATGTTTTTGCATATGTATAGGCGACAAATTTCGGAGGACGCCTTGTTTCCCCTTTCAAACTCGTACGGTGATTCATCGCTAAATTCCGTACCATACGCTGCAAACATGCCAGATAAACAATTACGTACAGAGCTATACCAATCTGTGTACAGTCCTGGATATAATCCGTTACCCGACGCACCGCATATATGGGCAAAACATAGCAACGCTCTGAACAGGGTAGTAGCAAGGCAAAACACTAATCCTCGGCGGTGGTCGAACGAAGAAGTAATCAAGTTTATACAGAGTGTTCCCAATTGTAAAGAAATCGGAAATATGTTTAGAAAACATGTGCGTATCGAAATGTTTTTCTACAGATATTCGCGTTAGCTCGAGTTATGTTCAATATGCAAATTTTACGTTGCAGAGTATCGATGGCGAAGCATTTCTGATGTTAACTCAAGAGGATTTAGTATCGCTACTGGGATTACGTCTTGGTCCTGCTATTAAATTGTACAATAGCATAGTACTCCTTCGCAGGAGGGCAACGTGAATGACGTGCGATGAACGCATATACAATTGGGTATTAAAAAGTGCAAAGTGGCAGCTATCGTGACGATAATGTCGAATGTATTTATTTTAAAACTGTAACAAATCATCGAGGTAGACACATATTTTCCATCGCCAATGAAAAATGTTCGTTTAATGCAATACAACGGCGAGGAGTGATGGGGGGGGGGGGGGTATTGGGGTTGAGTTTTTAATAAATTGGATCAAGCGAAAAAAAGATTATCAAACGAAGAGAAACGAAGACTATTGTGTTTGAAGTTGAAATCGACGATTCCATTGACTCATCGGATACATAGCTCGAATGTACGCGCATAAGTACTTACGATCGATCGTTCTAATTTTTTCCTACACAGTGAAGTGCATTCAATCATGTACAAATGTAAATATAACGATCTTAATAATTAAATATTGTAATACAAAAATATAAATCCTGATGTAATTATCCTGACCTGCCATATGCTAACATAAAAACAGTTTTTAGTCAACGACACGCTAGAGTCGTTGATAATAATATAGATAATACAAGTAGATACAGTCTAAGCCTACTGTTCTCAAACTTTTCATATGGCACTCTTCTAAACTAACAATTATATATAAATTGAATTACAATTTGATATTCGAAATAGCAGAAGTTTAAGTTATCGACATTCTTGAAGATTGAAAAGTTTCCTTCGCGTCCCTCTCGCATTGTGAGGCGCCACTCGTCGCATTCACCTCACAATGGCGTAACCAACAATTCTAGAGCTCGAATGCTATGTCGATATTTTCAAAAAAAAATAAACATTGTGCATAGTTAAAAAATATAATAATTAGAAATTAACTGATACTATGTTCGAAAGAAATAACAAAAAAAACCCTCTTAGTACCGAAGCTTTATTCGATTTGAAAAACTGTCGATATCGTTGCGGAATTTTCTTAGTATTAATTTAGTATACGTCAAATTATAAAATGTATATTTTGTCATCGATTAATTATAAAAGAGGCCATTTGAATATGAATATCAAAGATTCAGATGTTTGATAAACTATTCTTGTTATATGAAGGAAAACAGAGACGACCATTTGTTACATATACTGCGTGTACACACAGAACAATTTTGTAATTGGCTTATTTGTTTTGTTGTTCGACAAATAATGTAATAATTGAATACTTTGTAGAGAAGTTAGTTAAAATGTTAATTCTTACTGATGCACGAGAGAAGGGCGGTGCTCCATTTAAGAAGCGTCGTCCCTCCCCGCTCTATCCCGGGATCGTGCCACTCGCGGACCGTTCTCCTTCCACCAGCCAGCAAAGTGGCTGCTATGGCGATGTTTACAACGTAGTCAGGGGGACTGGCCATGTGTTCAGTCGGTGGCTCGTCGCGCGCCGGGCAGCAGTGAGTTCTCGTGTTCGTGTTCCTCTCGTGGTTCGTCGTGTGTTTTCATTCTAGCGCGATAAGCGTTCGACTGTCAAACCAACCACTCACATCCGTACAAGCTGCGTAACATTCCTCGCTTTGTAACTCTCTCTACACACTCGCGGCAGTCGATACACGCGGGGATCCACTCGAGTAATCGACAACACGAAAAGACACGAAATAAACTAAAACTAAATTTTCTGCGACGAACTCGTATCAAAATAATTCTTGCGCTCGTAAAGAACGTTTCGATCAACAGCGACAAGTTTCGCGAACGGACGCGTCCCGAATTTCGACGTCTCGATCGATCTCGTAACCGCGATCGACTAATCGACGCGAAAACGATGACACCGACGGTGTCGTTGGTAACTCGAAACGTTGGAATGTCCGTTCGAAGTTTTGTGCCTGATTGTTGCGATTGAGTGTTTACAAAGTGACAACGGACACGCGAAGAACGATTTATAGTTTACAAGGATCGTGCGTTACAAGGAATCGCGTATGATGCGCAGTCGCGACGTACTCGTCCAACGAGGACGTTCGATTTGAAGGATTATCGGAATCGAACAGTTTGCTTCCGCTCGTTTCGATAATCGATGGTTCATCGAAGGGGTGGCAATAGCGAAGAGGGAAAGTGATTCGGTGCCGTGTGGTATGACTGGATTAGCTTTTCCGCGGCAAAAGGAGGCGAACGATGCAGGGTGGTCGGCGTTGATCGTTGCCACGCGAGAAAAGCTCGAGGGCCTCGACGAGGAAGGAAGGTCAGTGAAATTCGGCGGCGGTGGGCCCCAGGCTCGTTCCTCGGTGGTTGGCGCGGCTGGCGCCAAAATGCCCCGTGGACTGCCGACTAGACGAGGCCTACAAGCACTGGCACTTGTTCTGGCCACTGCCTACGCCACCATTCTTCTCTACCAGGCTGTTGCACCGCGACAGGTGAGATTTTTCAAATTTTCTCTACGTTATAATATGTACTTGCAAACGGACCAAAGATAACCAGAATTAAAGGAGGTTACGTAGAAATATTTTCGCATAAATTTATTATCTACGAAAGGTCGGCTGTTAGGGTGAATTTTTCGTACGCAGTACTTCAAATTCAAGAATAGACGATATTTCGATTTGAATCTTATTTAGCAATAACCGGATGTACGTGACGAGTCGTACAGTTTCGTTACGATTCTTTCATTTCATGGCGCGAATTTGATCACTTTATAGAGTGAATTTGAGAACCGCGTAGTGAGCGCCACCAATTGACCTTGGCGGTAAACCAGAGCTTGTCGTTCCGGTGAAACGCGCGAATTAATTTCTCTGCGAGTGTTACGCGTCGATAGCCAGTTATGTTAATCGAAAGACTAATCGCGAACATCCAGTTTTCTCCAGTCGAGTTTGTTTTCATTCCTCGTGTAAACACATTCTCGGTGCGTGCACGTGCTTGTTTCTTTTTCCGAGAATCGTTTCGTCACCGAATAGCACCGATCGAATTACGGTATGCGCCACGTTTAGTTGCGTGGAGAGCGTCGTTAGTGTTTGACCTTTTCACGAGACACTGCTAAATATTGTGGCCAAGTACACAAGTTGACAACCTACGTACATTCGTAGTATCGAGGGTGAGATGCATATTTTTGTGTATAATGGTTTATTTCAGATTAAGAACGCCAAGTTAAGAGGAACTAGTTGAGTATATAACATGAAGACTGTATAAGGAGATCCAACTCCCTAAGAAAGTTACTAGAAAACTCTTAGCAGAATCTCGAACTTGAAGTTAGGAATATTTCGTCCAATCGCGGCGCAAGTGCGCACAGACTATACAGTTTCGTCAACGGGAATAGTGTGAATAGTTCCATTAAATCGCTGGTTATAATGTTTTGTCGTGTCGTATAGTCTGAATGGACCTTAATACGTGCTACCGACATATACGCGAAGTTAGGTGAAACTAGTTAAGTATATAACCATGTACTGTAACGCCATATATATAAAAATATGTGTTACCGACATCTACGCGAAATTAAGAGAAACTAGTTAAATATATAGATTACAGTGTTATCGACATTATATAAATTATGTATGTTCAAGTATGTTCAGTATGTATCAGTACAAATGAGATATAAAGAAATTTTGCTAATTTTCGTTGATCATGGAAACATTGAGTAGGGGTGATGAATGTATCGCATCTAATTGTTTACAATTATTTCCAGTGGGTAGACGAGATGACCGTGGACGTGAACAGCAGAAGCGTGCTGGTGGAAGTGCCGCCTCCGAGGAAGCTGATCAACGAGGAATCGTCTGTGACACCAGCGATCGCAACGGCGACCATGGCACCGTCTTCGACGAATCTGGACGATGTGTTCATCAGCGTGAAAACCACCAAGCACTATCATCATTCTCGACTGCCGGCGATAATCGGCACGTGGTTCCAATTCGCTAAGGATCAGGTACGCGACGAATCCTTTCGCGCTATGCGTATGTCCGTGGTAATGTCGATATCCTGGCCTGTTTAACGCCGCGAACCGGGCCGTTTTTGCAGTCATGTTGATCGTAACCCCGTCGCGGATGAGCGACGGCCACGCTTGTCCCTTAGCGCAGCGATTCTCAAACAGCGCTCAAAGGGATTTATTTATATTCATAGGGATATCTACGAGAGCTAAGAAGGGAAAGAAAAACTACGAATTGAGACACAAATTGAGAACCGCTTTAAAAACTCTACAGATTATAACTTGATCAAAAATTAGTTTAGAAGAATGTTGCCATGGTTTCGAAGACTACCGTGTACGTACTACCGTGTCTTTAGTTTTGTTCTTTTCGTCTTCGCGATAAAGACCACCGAACGTTAAAGATTGCTCCGCGAAAGCTTCTCGGGAGTCATATTATCCGTCGTATTACTTTACAGCCACTTGTAATTCCCTTAACGATCGCAACAGGAATCCAATCAATTTCGATAGCGGGGAGAAAAATGAACTCGAGGGGCAGCGTATACTTTCGTCGCGTAAAATTACACTGAGACTACCGATGAGCACTTTCAGATAAATAAACGACGTAATTGAGCAATTATCCGCGAGCCGTTCGGAGGCAGAAAAGGCTTTTGTAAATTGAAGGGTTGCGATACGGAGCGAGTCACTGAAACTAATGACAACCGTTCCGACGGCGATCGATCGCCGTCCAGGAGAGCCTCCTTTCTCGCAACGAATTGTTCGGATATTCTCTTCTTGCGCCGCGAACCAATCGACCAGGATGACTGTCCGATCGTTAGACTTGAACGCTTTGGAAACAGAAACTCCTGCATTATTACTTCATGTACTAGACTTTAATAGTCGGTTACAAGAAATTAACCCTCTGCAATCGAGGTCATTAATTAGGTGCGAAGACTCAACGCGTTGACAGACAAATATTCTTGATAATTTCTGTTTGGACGAAATATTATTTAGATTATTGGAGACTTAACCCTTTGAACCAGTAACTCCGGACGATTTCGGCCAAATTCGGCAAACAGTTTACAAGTACTTTAAAAACATTTATAAACAAACAAACAAACCAAAATACAAATAATAAAATTCCACCAGTTTATTTATTCATATGTCGAAAACAACAAACTTCGATAAATATTACACTCTGTAATTAGTTTTGGTGTGATATTTTGACGACGAACTTAACCTTCTCGAAACAAAGATTCGACTTTAGAACAATTTCGCTATGCCCCAACCCATCGATCGAGACCAAAGAAACAATACGAGGGTCCAGGGAAGTGGCCCGTTTCTCTACCTAGACTCCACTCGTACCGCCCGCGGTAAATCTTGCTCCACAAATGGGATCGTGAACCCGTAACATCGCGAAACAACGGCCCCAGCCAAACAAGCAATATTTCCAAACGCGATTCGATGATTTACGGCGTTAGAAACGCGAAACAAAAATTCAACGCCTCCGTCTAGTTTAATTTCGCGAGACGAAGGGCAGGGGCGAACGTGTTTCGCCGAGGCAACACCAAAGGGCGAACGTCGAGAATCTCCCCCTTCTATCCTGAATCACCGCGCAGCTTAATCACCGTCTGTTCCG